TTTATTAAAATAAATTGCCCTTTGTGAACGTATTGGCAGCTTTGTCATTGCAATACCAACAAATCAATTTCCAAAGTGAGTTTTCAGTGTAATATGTTTGATTTGTGGGAGACATCTTTTGCCATTTCCCGGCACCCTATGACATTGCCATGACTCATTAGCATGCAGAAGGGAGCTCAGAACCTCCGACATCTTTATTTGCACTGTCGCTGTCGTAGAATCAGGCACCAGAGGTGAACTTGGTTTGATAAACTGCCTCGAATTAATTTCATATAAATATTAATAATTGTTGTTAATCCATAATGAATGGAGGCATTGGCTATTTCTTCAACTATTTTCTGAGTTATTTGTTTTCTTTTTATCCTGCCTGCAGTTTACAGTTTATTCTGCAGTGGTGTGCTTGACTGCTCTCCAGCCATTCATCAAGGCACTGCTTTCCATTATTTGGTGCAGTCAGCTGAAACTGAGAAAGGCTTTTGGGGTGGTATGGCTCATTCTTCCTACTCTCTGTGCTCCTCAACAGAGATGTTCCTTGTATTTTGCACCTTACCCCGTGGATCACTGGTCATTAGAGGAGTCGGTTCAATTATGTATGCAACATAGTTTTAAGACTGGCTTTCCCAGCATGCCTTTATTTTCCATGGGATCAAAACAGAACCAACAGATCTCCACATCATCATCAATAATAGTAAAGCACTATATTCACATTCATCGGCCAGCTCTCTCAATCCTCCCTTTAAGACTAGTCATAAAGATTTATATCACAGTCAAATTCACATTTATACGATTCCCACCCAGCAACTACGAAAATCAATAACCTAAGTATCGTATTCTTGGCTTCCAATATTGTCAGACTCAGATTCCATCAGGCTACGATCTGTGCTGCATTCTGATAACAGCATGAAGAGCGGCTGGTTGAGATGAAAATAAAATAGTTTATCACTAATGCACATACTCAACAGCCAGCCATTCTGGACATCTGTATTCAAATGTATACTCTACACCTGCTGTACATCCCACGCTAAAATGTGCAGAGATGAAGGGCGGACAATTACATCTAGCCTTTGTTTTAGCGGACAGCTGTGTCTGTGGTTTCCCCTTGTAAATCTAATCAAATCATTAAACATTTGTTTACAATGGAGACACTATCCTCTCTTCCCAAGTTAAGTTTCTACCTCATTTCAGCTCTGCAGGTGCATATTTGATTCATGAGGCAGTGTCACTTGATTCTGTATGAAAGTTAATGTCACAGTGGAGAGATGTGTCAGCAGCATTCTGACTGTGAAGCACAGCAAACAACTTGACTAATCTCATCTGTGCTGACATTGTGACTGATGATCAGCGAGCTGGTGGCCCACCTGAATGTGCCGGACCATAATCTCCCGGCTCAGGGTGATATTGCCAGTTTCAGCCTTCACTGGAGTGGGCTTTTAGCTTTAGCACTAAGAAGAAGAAAAATACAGCAGCTCTCAGATCTATGTGACCGTCATAAAAAAGAAAAACATTGTGAAAGGGGAAAGCACTGCCAAGGGACCAATTATAGCTTTAAGGCTTAGGCCCGTAAGCAGGCTGATGGTGGAAATGTTTTTTGATTAAAAGCACCTACAGTACACACAAAAACAAATTGATTAAAAGCTTCGATTTTTATTGATTTACTTCCATTTATATGCAAAAATAAGTTCATTTTGAGTTCAGGGTTCATCACTTCATGTTTTATCATTTACCACCCATTCCTCTAAAGCCATAGGGATGCTCAATTGAAAAGAGAAAGAGGCAGAGAAAATACTGATGCGACTTATCACACATAGAATCTTTCTTTTACTAAAGCACTTCATAGGAGAGTTACCAACATGAAAAAAAAGCAAATGGTATTCATGTTTCAGAGTGCGCACCCGCTACATTGATCAAGATATCTCGGGTTACTGCTTCCTCACCTCAACTATTCACAGCCTTGGCATTCTCATGGCAGGCAGGTTGAATGTCTAAAAGCTGTCTGTAAATATGCGCACGCTGTCAAACAGTACCTGGCCTTGATGGAAAATAAGTAGTTCCCTCGTATTCAGTATAATACATCTAAGTGCATGAAAAGTGATACAGAAATGCCCAGCATTGAAGTCCTCTAATGTGTAGAACTGATATGCTTTGTGTTTTAGAGTTGGCAATATGCCCTCCCCAAAGGCATATTGCAAAAGTGCAGGTTTATTCCTCATTACATCATTGCACTTCACTGAGTCGTCTTGGATCATCAGTGGAGCAGACAACCTTCATACCTCCATTATTCCTCAGAGATGTTTGTTCCCTTTCACTGGCAGGCTTTTACAGAAATCACAGCCATGGCTCAACATAATCTACACGTTTACTTTGAAGCTTTTATTGTATCTTTCCTGGCCTTAAGTATTTATTGTTTTTGTCGCGGTTAAGCCACCATGTACAGTCTTTATTTTTATATATATATAAGCCAAAAGTTTTCTTTTGTAAATAAATTAGACAATCCAAATGTCAATCGGCGTAGAAATGCTCAAATCACACATTTAGCGGCTTTCTTTTAATAGGCAGTGCCCGTTATTTAAAAATGCATCTTTCATTTGTGGAGGACATTGTATTGCATCTTAAAAGCAGTTTATAATACATTTCAGGTATGAAAAGTTCAGTATATCTTTTAACGATAGATATGGCAATTGTTAGACACCAAAATGTATAATCTAAAAGTGCCAAGACAGATGTCAGTCAAACAGTCTGCATGCCCACACATTTTAAAACAATTAAAACGCTTGTGCAGGTGTACAATGTTAATGTAAGATCTTTAAATCATTATTGATACATTTTTAGGTTATTTTTGTATTATTGTTCTAATGTTGTTTTACCTATATCACTCTGTTACTGGAGTAAAGCACCATTACAAATATTTGTTTTGTTATTACAAAAATATGATCTAGTTATTACCTTTTAATTATGGCTTTACCCCGTACCAAGATAATACAAATGTATTATCCTCTGATTACAGAATGGTAAGTCAATGTAACCACATCTTTTAGTAAAAATATGCCACAAGTTAAATTGAATATTGTCATTGAAATATCCTTCCTTGCCGAACACACCTGAACACATTTATATTTCAGTGAGGTCAGAGTAGAGGGTCACACAGCACTACTTATGGTTACGTTTCTTTCTGGAATATTGTTTGGTGCTGTACTGTAGAAGTAAGGCCTTCCAATCACCATCTCAAATAAAAATGAAATACAGTCTGTAGTCGGCGCTGGGGATTATGTTTCCACAGAAAGGACAGCATTTGCCACACTCTAGGCTGCTACAGAATGTCAAGACTGGAATGTCATGAATGTATTAAGGGAAGCTCAGTAAGCTGCAGTGCACTGTAACCTGCACCGACACTTCTTTTCAAACGATGCTCAAGACAGGGCCTTGTGACTGATTATGTGAACAGCCTTTATTGGCCTCGCAGGGATAATTACATGGAATTTAAAAAAGCACTTCTTAATGAAATCGTACATACCCTGACCAAAACTTGAAGGATTGTGTAGTATATTCCAACCCATATTCGTGACTCTTTGGATGTTTACCTTTTATTTCTTGCAGTGAGCCGTATACACTGGAGACAGGCTGAAGAGATGGTCGGGTAGATGATATGACAAAAGAGTAGAAAGTTATGCAAGAACTGACAACAACACCTCTGCATAGTTCTCCACATACAATTAACCCCCATCCATTTCCCTTTTTAAAATGACATGCATAGCTGATTTCGCTCGACAATTTACTGACCCAGCCAACTGCATTTAAATTATTGTAATGATGACAGGATTAAATGTTTTTTGTTGATGTGATATTGTGTGATTATATGTAATGAGCAGATAAGTAATGTGCACTGTTGGAATCATTTTCCTGGTACTATTTAGAGTCAGACTTACCTTCACCTATAGCTGACAATGGTCTCCATCAGGACAATGAAGGTCAAGGAAGGTCCACAGACCTCTGGCTGGCCCAATCTCCTCTGCTCCACCATTTGAGCTGGACTAATGAGGCAGACAGCTGCTCCCTTAGTTGAAAAGTCCCCGTGGTGAAGTGTACCTGGGAGAGGCAGAGACAATGTCACCTTCATATCAAGGCACATTACAAGAGGAAAACAAAGCAGATCTGTGAAATCAGGAGAACACATGATCAAAGATTAGCCATGGTCAGTGATAATGCAGCGGATTTAGCTTCAAGCATGTACTCAAAAACTCTAACACGGTTGCTAATAACTGCTGTTATCCCTAAAGAGGCCTTTCTGGTCAGCCTCATTTTAAGCCTCACTTGTGTTTGCACAAATAAAGAGTATTGGTTTTAGACATTTGTTTCTGAAGCTTGCCAGAGTTCAATAAAACATAGGCAGGAAACTCTTCTACAATGTAATTAGGGGACTTTGCTGAGGCGACAAGTACAAATGCGGAATAAGAAGGTAAAACCCAGCAAGGCTGGGTGATTAGGCCTCATTTGGATGTCTTCTGCACACTGTGACGAGCGGCTGTTTCAGGGCAAGGCAGTCGCTCGGATCGAAGGCCCACAGTGTCTAGGATTATGTGTCAATTTACCACCCAGCTGCAGCTCTAGACTCTACTGCAGAACATGACTACCTCTAATTAGGCCATGCTACCAATTAGGGCCCTGCAATAAGGCAGCGAGGAAGGCGCTCTGGGAGAGTAAAACCTACCATTGCCTCCATTGTAAAAAAAAAAACACCATTGTTTTCTAGCACCAACAGCTGTCCAAGGCTGTCCAAGGCTGGCGACAATGTCAACCCAGCCTCCATTAAGTTATATTTGGTTTACAGGGATGTAATGAAGACATTAATGTAATTGGGCGTGAGGGTGATGGGAAATGAACATTGAAATATATCAAGTCTGAATGGTACATTCATGTGATTTAGTAAAAAAACAACCAGTCCAACACAGCAATGTATTCACATCATGGTCATGACCTCAGACTCTGTTTTTATGATCCAACAGGTGGACAAGGTCAGTTCCCCATAACTCAGAATGTGACCGTGGTGGAGGGGGGCTCAGCCAACATGACCTGTCGTGTGGATTACAATGATAACACTTCCCTCCAGTGGTCAAACCCTGCACAACAGACCCTATTCTTTGGGGACAAGAAAGGTGAGTAATATTCCTGAGGATAATGGCTGTAATGATAAAATGACGAGATATGATAAAGATGTCTTAACCACACTCCATTACAGCAGAAGTCTTCTTCATTAAGTTTTCAAATTTGGAATGAGCGAAATTGTCTCTGCCTGCGAGCACACAATTTGACTGAATACAGGAAAAAGGCAGGATAAGAGGGAAATGCATTGCTCATAATGTCGACACAGACTTTTAATGAATTTATTTCTCCATTGATGTCCCAGGGCACACACTAAACAGAAATACGCTGTTTTTTAATTGAACTTTTGTAATCATGCAACACTGACAGTGTTGTCTACAACACAGTGACGCCTGTGGATTGTGAGATGATTTAGCTTAATTAGCAGTTTAAGTGCCCTACATTTGTATTGCTGTTTGGATGTCACTGGAAAAGGACAAAAAGAAGCACACTGTTGCAACCTCGTGAAACAAAGCCCAAGCCAGAATGAATTATAATGTGCTCTCACCAGCCAAACCCAATTTAAAGGTGACAAAAGTCTGGTGGTGATAAATTGGAATTGGGGTGAAAGGGAGTATAACAGTGGACTGGTCTTGTAAGAGTTGGGTGTGTTCATATTTCAGTGTTTCTCACAGCATATTACCCATTTCCTTTATGCTGTAGCTGCTAATACAATATCATTGGTTCAGTGATTGAAGATTAGCTTTTCCTTTGAATAACAATTGATAGGAGAGAGAGACGCCAGAGTGAACCAACAGAAAGAGACTCACAGTCTGGTTTGAAGAAATTCTTTCCCTCTCTCGCAAGTGATTGGATTTAGTAATGAGGTCTAAGGTGTTTTATTAGAAGACATTACTTCAAAATACAATTAAATGAAAGTTAACCGAATCTTAAGAAACTCTTATGTGAATGGCATGTTAAATGTGTCCTAAGCATCTGGATTCAAGCCAAAATCCTTATTATATTTACTTGTATGTCTTCAACGTAGAATCGATAAAGCACATATTTGACTTAAAACAACCAGTTTTAAAAATCACTCAATTCTATCACGAAAAAACGTCTTAAAGATGTAACACATTATTCAAATAAAATTGTTTGGTTGTTTCATTTGCCTTCAATAAAGCAATCTATCTTTGCTTTATTCATATTTCTCATCTCCTGTGAATGCAAAGTCATAATCTGTACCTTTACCCAGAATGCCGCTGGAATAAGCATTTTAGGGGGGTTTGGAGAGCCCAGTATGTTAGAGCCACTTCGCCCTTCTTGGACAGCCATTTATATTGCATGATAGATTCTTTTTTCCTCAGCAATATGGATGACAAAAAGAATGTAGTCTACTCAGCAGAGGTTGCCAGGGCTAAGTATTGGAACACTTCCTCTCGATCTCCTTTTAAACAGCCAAATGAAAAGCTTTATTGGCACAGTGAATACGATGCTTGTGAGGCCATCAGGAGAAATGGGAGGTGTGGAACAACACAGGCTTCATGTGGGGAAGAGAGTGGGACACCTGGGAAGAAATCTCTACTCTGCCAAATCACCAGTTAATTGCTTGGCAAAGGGCTGCAACTGTCCTTCTTCCCCCATTTGTTGTGCCTTCTTGTAGAAGCCAATGAGAAATGTTAGAGTCACACTTGTGCTAGCTCTCAGTCCAACAACTAACGGCAGACTGCTTGAGGTTGAGGCAGGCTGTTTCCTCCCTCTGATGAACATCTGGTCATAGACGGCTGTCAGTGAGTAGATTAGATTAATGCAGCTATGTTGCATTCTCTTGTTCTCAGTGTTTAGATGTTGCTATCTTTTTTTACCTGCTGTTTAGATGCATCCTTTATTTTCCCTGTGCTTGTTGTCTCTGTCTGTTGTCTTTGTTGTCCACCTCTCTGCTTACAACATCCCCATGGGTGTTCATGACAGCGTGGCCATATGTTAGCGTTTGATGCACATGCAACTTTCTCTCATTCTCTCCCCACAAAGGTAGTTTGTCATTGTGCATGTGTGACCCCAAGGAAATTCAGCCTTACCACTCTAATGTGTGAGTTCAAATGCTCAACATATACTGCACAAGTAATGAGGATAGACATCTGATTTTTTGTCTTAAATTAGACAAAATGCATTGTAAGGCATTTTTTGAAATATATTCTCCCTCAAGCTAGGTATTAAAGATAAGGGGCATTTGTCTGGATGGGATTGGAGTATGAATGAATATAGGATGGAAGGAAAAGACTATTAAAATGACATTTTACAGTAAATTCATTTAAACAGCTGTGAAGTGGAGTAAAGAGAAACATCTGTAAGTTTCATATTATATATTGGGTCTGAAAGCTGCTGGGTGAAGTAAGACAAAATCTGATCTTTGCCCTGACTATAATTTGCTCCATTTTAATTCAGGTCTGACAAATGAGAATATGAAAAAGCCTATTGGAGCCAAGGACAAAAGGGATTTCGGTGTCTTTCTAGAATTGTAATGACCGTGAAAAGTCTACTTCAGTGTATCAATAAGAAAAGCAAGCATGTGTATGTTTTGCATCAAACATTATTCATACACAAGTGCCAGTAATGCAAGCTTTAATACCTGATGATTGGTTGTTAGTGCTTTTCAAAGCTGCTCATTTTCTGATCTGACAAAATGGTTTGGTTACATTTCGGCCACTTAAGCTACCTGAATAATGTTTGGAAAATGGATTGGTAAAATAAGCTTCGACAATTGGAAGGGGAGCGAAAATGAACTGCGGTCTCTGATGTCAAAATCTTTCTGGCAAGGACAATGTCCTGTGACTCAATTAACCTTTTTTTAGTGCATGTTGCAATTAAATTACCATAAGGATCACAATGCTGCACTATTAGTTTGTAAGCCGCTGGGACTCCTCAGGTAGGTAAGTATGTATAACATGATCCCAGCAGTGCGTCCTACAAGTTGTGACCTTTAATTTGTCTACACAGCAATGTCACATCTCATGACAGACGGGGAACTGGGATAAGAGTTGTGGTTGCAGGTGGGAAGAAAATAGTTGGCAGGTAACAGCTTAATGTATCTTTGGTGTGATTTTATAAACGCTGAGAAGGACCTCCATATCATCCTCTACCAAAAGAGGATCAGTCAAACCTTGTGGAGCTCCAAGAGAGTGTTAACCTTGCTGGATTCTCAAAGCTGATCCATATGGGTTGGACTGTCTTCGCACATTTGTCTAAAAGCTGAACACAGCCCTCCTCTTATATCATGCCAGCTGGCTTCTTGGCACGTTCCACCTGATCCATTATGTATATCTGAGTCTTGGTTGATTGTTTCCACCTCAAAGGCTTCAGACTACAATATGGCAAAAACCATAATGCAGATTCCTTCAAACTACCATCACAGATCTGAGAAAACAGAGATAGATCACCTTAACAGCCGGGGCAACACATCTTTCATACATTAGACCAATTAGCGTGGACTGTCGAGGAAGCGGCTCTCTGCTGGGCTGCCACATTGAGGAAATTAATTTGGACCATATGTCTTTTGTAGTATATGCCTTTTATACGTTGCCGGGGTTATGAATTATTATTACTGAGCAGGACAAATTAGATCAGAGCTGTCCTTTGCTGTCTTCATTATGAATTACTTCTCTTTTGGGTTCTATGGGAAAATAATAAAACTATGTTGCAATGCTGTAGAGAATGGTAATGACATCCTGAAGGCATGCGAGATGGGAGCAGATACTTTTGTCGGATACGGTGAATATGAATAATGCAATTAATGGGAAACTACTGCCGGTTGCATGTCAAAGGCAGATAACAAATTGCTCATTTGAACTACGGTAAGTGTTTGTAGCAGGGATACGGAGCCATATACATACATGCTCTGGCAACTAATATAGCCTTTTTCATCATCTCAATTCAATCTCGCAGAGGTTTATGGTTCATCATTCATGACATTTAATTGGGGCATTCAGCTTGGACCATAAAGGTCACGAAGCAAAATTGATCTTAATTGGCTTGTAGTAATCAAAATGCTGTTATGTGCTAAATGAATGCTCTAATGTGAGCATTAAAACATTCATTAGCTTGAGAGAATGAAAGATAATTACCAAGGACGCAATTACTGCACTGAGCACCAATGAAAACACATTTTAACGTCAATTCTAGTAAACACACAACATTTGATGGTGGGTCTGTTTGAAGCAAGTGGACGTGAGTTCCGTCTCAAGTATCTGTATTTAATTCTCTTTTCCGTTCTAAAGATTATTAGTAATATTATATAATATAATATATATTATAATATTATTACCAATATTGTTGATTTTTATGTATGTGGCATCCAATTTTACATTGGTATTTTATACATATATCTAGAAAGCAAAAAGAACAAGTCATACAGTATACTGTACAGTAGACAACAACTCTAATACAACAAATACATATACGTTTTTTAAAGTTCAACACACTATGAAATAGTTTTATTTAATGGATTTGCTTGGCCATGCTTTCCCACACTTTCTTCACATATCTTTGGGGGAAAAAAACATTACACAAAAGCAATGCTAAAGGAACATTACACAAGCTGCAAGTTGTATTCTCAAGTGGTTACTTTTCAGTCACTGTTTTTACTGGAAAGAAATGTAAATGGAGTCTCATGGCCACAGCTAATGTCTTTCTTCAGGGAGTAATGGGCTTTTAAGTGTAGTGGGTTACCTCCAGCTTCACTGAAATGTGAATCGACCATTATGGCACAATACACTGGGTTTATTAGCACTAATGTGAAAACCTGCTCTTCAATGTTCTATACTGAGCTCTGTGCCACACTGCACTTTCATTTCTAATGTTTATTAAAATAATGAAGAATATGGTCTGTTGAAATTACTGTAGAAGGTTGAAACCCACCTGGATGTTTAGCCATTGGTTTGTGCTGTTCATTAATGTGTCTGGTGTATGAGTAGAGCTCATTTGAAACCAACAGGATATATGTTAACCTATTGTTATTACATTTAGAGTGTTCATATTGTATGAAAAAACGGAGATCAAGAGCAGAAAGATTTCCCACAGTGAACACTCTTATGTCAGTGGCTTGAAAAATGGACAGACAAAAATACATTCCATCTCATGAATTACCACTTAAAGAGGGGACAGAGCACTGCTGCTGGGAGAAATCCTCCTGCTTTCCTTCCCTTCTTTAAGCACTGAAAATGAGTCCAATCTGAGTAGCATCTGCTCTGTGGGATCTCTGAGAGGGCGGGCAGTAACAATGGCCCTCTGGAATAAGGCCCTTTCCTTCTCTTAATTGCAGCCACATGTGCGGTGAAAAAGAGCCCCCTGCCTGCACCACTAGCCCTGGAACACATCCAGAATCGCCCACACAGTCACTGAGTGAGCACTGCCAGCAGCAAACACACTCTAATTGCAAAGAGTGGAGCCCCTGGCTGGAGAGTGGGGGGGTGCGCCAGGACCCTGAGTTCTCGCTGAAGGACAGTTGGTGCTTTCACATTCCAGCACTGGCTCAAAGTGGTTACAGGCCATACAAAATATGTCCAAATGGGGACACTCTACGTTGCGGATGAAACATATTTTGGCTGAACCCAAGAGCCATCAGCTGGTTTCAAAGACTAATGGATACAGTAGATGTAAAATCTCCTTTCTCTATCTGGACTGTCACGAGATATTTCATCGTTTTGGATTAGAAACATTGGTTAACATCTGTCTGCTGCTTAATGGAGTGTGGAAGTGAATGCTATATGATAAGTGCACTTCCAGTTCCTCTGCCTCCAGTTTCATCTGAGGACAGAGCTAACATAGCAACCAAACAGACTGGCAGCTCTTCTTTTACACATTAAAACAATGCAGTGCAAGTTGTTGAATCCATTGGTTTACATGCTTGAACAGGTTCTTGGATACTTCAAATTCAGAGAACTCATAGCAAAACTGACCTTGGTTGTTAAATCTGAATCTGACAAACTACAGTATTCTTGGGAGACTTCAAACTGGCCTTCCTCTGACATGAGGGGTAGTGCAAAGGGATGTCAGAAAAACAAGGCAAACATTACTTTGCATTAAGGTGCCATAGCAACAGTATCCCTTGCCCTGAGGGGGAACCGGTGTCAGTTTGACTGATTTGAGACAGCCTTGGTAAGGCCTCCATCACGCGAGATCTACTGCACATTAAGCTGCCATGCTGCAAGGCTGTAGCATACACAAGGTCATGGTGCCGATTTATGCTTTCTCCTAAGTAGTCTGAACAACGCAGGAGCTATCTAGGGTTTGTGGGAAATGAACCTTTTCATCACATTGATTTCCTAAAGCACCTGGAAAAAAGCTTTGTCAGCCGCTGGCATTTGGGTCTGATTGTGACAGATCTGCCCACAAACTGGGCCTCTAGACTGGATTGGATGCTGGTAGTATGGTTTCCTGGCCATGTGCTGTTTGAGTAATAGAAAGCACTTGTCTTTGGGTTATTCAAACCTTTGTACAGCTCTTTCTATCAATATGTCATTGATTCACGTGCTATGTAGTGCCAGTGGCTGTCTAAAAGATGCATCAGTCAAGTCCATCTTTTGTTAAACTGTCTCAGCTACTACTTGCATTGAATCAGTATTTCAGCTACTGACATTTAGATTTAGCTCTGTTGTCATGGTAATGTGATATTGTTGAGCAGATAGAAAAACAAGGTTGAAGCTCATCTAATACTTCAGAAATGTCACTTTAAATTATCAGTGATCTGTACTATATTTGGTCGCTGTTTTGTGGGGGTGTAAAGCATAATTAGTATGTTATCCATACTGAATGGTTGATGGTTTACCCTGTTTGTTTTCTTTATAAAAAAAAAAAGTCTTTCGGTGGAATATAACTTTAACCAAAACATGTCTGATTTGTGATTTCCATCAAAAAATTCTTCTTAAGAGACCGCCCTAACATTTATCGGCATCTCGGAGATGTTTGAGCTTTGAGGTTACGAAGAAGAATAGCTGGCCTGTTTCTCCTCCTCTTTTCTTTGTGCGATGCAGAGATAAAGCGATACGCAGGGGAAGTACAGTATGTCTTCTTGTCCAAAGCTTTGATCTTCTCAGCCTGCACTTCCATATCTTTTGAGTTCCTGTACGATGTTTGTTTAGACCCCATCACCTTTCCAATGCATCCACCAAAAGGCATTGCTGTTTTCCGCCAGAGCCTCTGGGCATTTTCAAGCTCTGTAGTGAGGATGCTTAAATACAAAGAACATCAGACAGCTTTGTTTCAAGATGCAGTTTTCTACAGTAAGACTAGTTTGCATTAAGGCCCATAGCACATAATAAGCTGCTTCTCTGATGGCAAAGCTTGTTGTTACATTTTAATTCTGGCTTGAAGATTGTTTTTATTTACTCTTTATAACAAAGGGTCCCTTCAGGGAAACTTCTTAGGGCCATCAAAATCTCCTTTGCCAATTTCTTTTTAGCATGCGTGTGATTAAATGATAATGATCATCAATTGATGTGGTGTAATTTAAGCTTTGCAAATTAAGACCTATGTCTGAGTAAATCTAATAATCATTTCCACCAATCTAATTTAGCTGTGTATCACATGGCTGCTGTTCATGTTCATCGCTTAAATCACATACATTGGAACGGAGCAGGAGATTAATGATTTTCATAGAGATTTCTTCTTTATCTGATGTGATTTTACATTGGTTACGTTGATTAAATCCTAATCAACACCCACCACTTCTGCTGCATTTTGACCCGTGTTGTACAATCCAATATAGTTCAAATTGCTATAGATGAAAAAAGTGTCCAGGGAGAGAGCTGCTCAGGCCTGGAGGGAGTAAAGATTAAGAATGTGTAATTTATTCAATGAAGAGCACTTTCCTCCCTGCCCTATGTGGTTGGTTGCATGTAGGAGTACGTGATACTCAATTTGAAATTATATAGGAGATGACAGGTGCGAGATTAGCTTTTTTCACCTGTGCTGCGTTGTTTTCCCAGCTTTACAGTGTTACAGTCTGAATGAGCAGTGGTGAGTGTGTCCTAAGAAAACACTGACATGTTTTATTTCAAGCTGTGTTTGAAGAAATTCCCATTGTGATGGTCATAAACTCACAAGTCTTAGTAGGGGTGGTTCATTTGTTTTTTCCGCTACCAGATACTAGCAGTATAGTTTTTGTGTTTTACCTTAAATGTGCACTGAAGCTAGGCAATTTGGTTGGAATATATACTTAAATATTCACAAGAATATTTTAATAATATTGATGCTTATCAAAACACTGCCAATCATTAACAATTTGAATCTAAAATAATTTAATTGAGGTCCAATAAAATAAACTGTTTTCAATGGTTATGTATTACGTTTCTATTTTCTTAGACTTGTATTCAAACATCCTTAAAATCTCTTGTTTAGACAAATGACATACAAAAAACAAACCTCACAATGTCATTATTAATACCTCTTTGAAATACTGTTCTGCCCTTAACTACACTCTATTATGTTAGCTTACAGTGGAAAATACAAACATGTGGTTTGAATGAGACCAGGGTATGCTAGAAGACCCAACCCAAAGTCAGTTGCTGAGTGAGTTTAAAATGATTAGCTGAATTTGTTGTGGTTAGCTGAATATATATTTTATTCTAAGATTATAGGCTTGATTTGCTTTGCTAAAGCATAGCAAATAATGCTCACTGACTTTAAATAAGACTGGCTAGCAAAAATATAAATGTAATGGAAAAGTTTGAATCCATTGGCCCCAGTGTGTGTTTGCTGCATTTAAAAACTATTTGAAATAAAAGAACAGTGCTTTCCGCCTTGATCGAGTAGGAGTCATCAGAATTACAAATAGTATTTCTACAAGTTAATTGCCATTACTGTATTCAGCGGGAATTTGCCCATTGGTAACTCACTTGTCTGTCCTTTTTCTGTTCGCTCTGTAACTTTGTCTGTTTCATTACACAGCTCTGAGGAACAACAGAATCGAGCTGATACGAGCTTCGTCGCAGGAGCTCACCATAAAAATCGGTGACGTCAGCCTTTCAGACGATGGCCTGTACACCTGCTCGCTTTTCACCATGCCTGTCAAGACCACCAAGGCCTTCCTCACTGTTCTGGGTGAGCATGTCCATTTTGCACCAGCCTCCAAAACCGTGGCTTACTTTACACATTCTTACAGCATGAATACAGGCACATTTTCAACTATGGTAGTTTGCTACACCAAATCATTGGTGCTTCGTAGAATTTTTTTATTTCTGCATTACATTTGACCCTTATTTACTCAAATAAAGGATCACACCAAGCCTGCAAGCTAGTAGTGTTACTGAATGCAGTTGTCTGCCAGTCAGGACAGCCACAAACAAAAACTCAAAGTCACCTCTACGATGACCTTCACACACAGGAATACATTTGCCACAGTAATGTAAAAAAACGATATTGGATATTTCATATTTTCCTTTTTTTAATTATTTTTAGTTTCCCATTCATCACCTCCTTTGTTTATTCTGCTGTTTTTATCATACCCCTTTTTCCTGCCTTGAAAATCATAAAAATTATTTATTATTATGCTACTGAGAAAAGGAAGCATGAATATCTGAATAAAGTAAATGATTCTCAATCTTTTTTTGTCACAGCCTAATTTATGTATTCAGTATGTTCACATATATTTTCAATATTTCACAGGTGTGCCAAGCCGACCAGAAATCACAGGATTCACCAAACCTGCCATGGAGGGGGACATAATCACCCTGACATGCTCCACACTGGGCAGCAAACCAGCCGCCAATATCCGGTGGTTCCGAAATGACAAGGAGGTTCAAGGTAGGCATGCGGTGTGGATTACACAGAGCATCGTATCCTCTGTTACCTCATGTACCCTCTCTGAGACATCATTACTGTCAAGTCAGTCTGCTTCCTGCGTTCCTTTGTGTTCCTGCATTGTTCACTGGCCGGGGGTTTAGCACTGCCTCTCAGCCTGGCTCACTGCCAGCATTGCTGCTGACTTTGGAAGCTGTCCAAAAGTTGCTGGATTGTAGCAGAGCCATCCACATCTCCCTACCTGACCAAGGTGAAGACATACACCTCTTATTGATTCAAATTGTAAGGTCAAGTGTACATCCACAACAAGTTCTGCACAGCATTCTGGTTTCACTGTTCGTGGCAATGAAGCAATGTATACTCAGCTGGTTTCAAAAAGAAAGAAGTTTGCATCTTTTACATTTACAATGATGCAGAAGCTAATAGTCCTCACAATTTAGAAGGTGAGACCAGCAAATGTTTGACACTTTTGCTTTGTAGAATGACTTAAACCTTTGATTTGTTGTCAGAATTGTGTAGATTTAGTTTTCTGTGGATTAGACACAGTGGCGTAACAAGGTTGTGATTGGCCCCGGTGCAAATATTGTTTTGGGCCCCCCCCATCGCCCCCAAATGTAAGCGCACGCTGATGCGCTCACACACGCACGGACATACACTCTCTCTTGTCCTTTCTCTTTTGAGCGCCGCTCTTGTGCTTTGGTTTGCTGTACATTATAAATGCAAGCTATTAAAAAAATTTATAATGCTGCCGAACTTGCTGCTGCTAGCTACAGTACAGTACAGGTTGATTTAAACGGTTCGCTCGTCATGCAATGTATCACATGACATGAAAGGGAGCAAGGTCATTGGACATACAAATTACAAATTAATTTAGGTTGCTTGGTTACTTTGAAGACTGCGTGAACCGGTCAATGCCATTGGGGCCCCACATTTTTTTTGAAAAACGAATATATATAAAAAATATATTCTTCTTTTTCTTTGTTTTGCATGGGCCCCTGGCCGTCTCTGGGCCCCGGTGCGTTGCACCGGCTGCACCGGCGATAGTTACGCCACTGATTAGACTCAAGGCCAAAAGGTACATCAAAATGAGGAGTCTGGTTTCTTAAGATGGCTATCCTTACACTGCTATGAGTGTATAAAGAAATAGCTGTATGTTGTTGGACACTGTGTTAAGGAGGTGTGTTTCATAATTGTTCACCTTCAAAGAAACACAGGTGTTAATTAAACCGTATAAAATCTCAGTACCTTGGAACTGTTTGCATGTGATGAGTTGATCTTGCTGGGCATTTGTTCCGCAGGTGGCTCTAAGGTGCTTTATTTTTCAAACAGCCGCATTAGATTAGTCAATTGAGTCAAGGAGGATACAACGCTCTAGAATGCAAACTCACAGAGGCCACATAACTAGCTTCACCCAGATGGAAAGAAAAAACATTGACAGAGACAATGCATTAGGCAGCAGATGGAGCAGCGTAATGTGCGCTGATAACACTAAACCATGCAGCTGAAGTTTTTTTGTGCTTTCTCACAGTGTGCCTCACAAGCTTACAATTTCTTGTACACCTTTATTTCAAACTGTCTGAAGCTCCGTACTTTGTGTTTTTATAGAATGTATCACCGTCTTATTTATGCTTTAGAAAACATTAGAAAAATAACGGAATGGGATGTTTTTCCTCAATTTGATGGCAGTGGTAAGCTGTGTGGAGCTCTTTAATGTAACAGAGCATGCTGCAGAGACTCAGTGTGACAGTTGCTCTTTATTGAAGATTTGCACCAGAGAGCTTTTCTTGGTGGTTCTGTCTGTGTCTGCCCAACATGGCATGATGATTGATGGGAGAAGGGCCAGGATATGAAGTTTTCTTGTTGAAATGACATGCACGTAGATCTCTGAAAGGCCAGTAGAGAGCTGGCTCACAGCGTCATGACCAGACTTGCTGTCCATCTCAAGAGGCACTGAGATTATCTTTTTTCTGTGGTATGTCTTGAGGTAAACTTCAAAATACAACTTCAAAGCTCAACGTATAATATTGACATGCACATAAAACAAATCCCAAAACATAATATAGCAGAGTTTAAGGGGTGGCACAAATGTACTCAAGCTACCGTATTTCTGAGGATAAAAAACGAAAACGTAATACCTCCATCCTGTTCCTAGAACGGCAGAAATCACAGAAGTGCATAAAGAATCATTCAAATTAAGGCATGATACGCTACTTTTTCATTTAATGTATCTTGTGAACAATAATCTGTTTGTTCAAATTCCATATTTATATTTCAAAAACCCAAGTCTGCCCAAAACTGCTGCCTGGTATTTAAATGTGCTTTTATTAGTTTTACCTGCACACAGTGAGGTTTATTAAGTCGCTTGGGCAAACAGACCCGGTGCGACGCATCTGCAAGTCAAGGAGAGATGCAGAACAAAGCAGAGACTGGAGGGCTTGACTTAAAAACTTCATTTCCATGTCAAAGTGTCAAAGAGGAGGAGTGTCAATCAGTGCCCCTGATCCAAGTCTTTTGTAGGTGTTGCTTTAATGCTTTCTTTAGTGACTTTGTGCTGGGAGCAGCATGTTTTGCCATTGGTTCTTCTGAGGTAGATCATTGCCGCCAGTGTCTGCTGTCAGTCAAATCTATCCCCTCTGGGGGACCAGTCTACAAGGCTCCAAGATAACAGCAGGTGTAATAGCAAAAACATGTCATATTTATTTCATGCTCTGATGATTTGTTTTTCACCAATTTATATTAGAAGCACACACCATTACCAACCTCAATATCCTACTGTCATCCAGTGTCAAGTCATTTGTTTGCAGAGTATAGAGCCATACAAATGACTTGGGTCGCTGAATGACAGCTAAGCTTCAAATGATAATCTATTGAGGAATATCCACCCACTGACACTCTCTTTGCATACATAAAGTGGCCTATATATTCCTATTCACAGTGACACAAAGGCACATTCAAATCTACAACAGCTCCAATATGGGGACACATTTTATATTTAGTTAGGCAAGATATCAAGACATTTGAACCTAGAAAATAACTTTATTGTTATTAGTTGGAGTAGAAATATCTTTATAATTATCATTATTTGAGTATTAAATGTCCCCTATTTTACTTTTTTTCAACAATATATTAGAAGTCTCGGATACATACAAAACATGTCTCTGAAGTGTTTGACTTGAAATACCAAATGGATAATGCATTGTACTATGCCAAAATACGCCTCAGTTTCAGCCCTATTCAAAAAGTGCTGATTCTGTGTCTGTAGCTTTAAATGCAAATGACCTGCTGCTGTCCACGCTACTCTGCAGAGTGTTTAGTTAAAAAAAACACATTGGTGCTCTAGGAGGAGATTCAGGTGATAAGGTGGACGGGTGTTACCTTGGTTGGTTATTGGCTAATGGTTGCACAACCCAAAAAAACATTGTGACATCACAAAGTGGCCAAAATCTGATTATTTTGACTGAAGTCAACATCATTAATTGTCTTGGTCTGCTGACCTTTTAGTATATTAGACAGTGTTGTTAGTTTGTTCTCTTTTTCTGAGGTTCAAATCGTTTACTTTAGTTCTTCAGTTGTATGTTATCATCCTCATCAAGGCCATGTTCAAGTGCCTCATTCACTGAGGAGCTCCGCCTTCGACTGCAACATTCTTTCAAATATCAGTCGAACACCTATGGACCTAACTTTAAGAAATAACCCCCTCCATGTTTTCTATAGCTTTATATACTACTTCTCTCAGTTTTAAGACGGGGGGGGGGGGATTCTGCAAAATATTGAAGGATTATAGAAACACATTGCAGGAATATACTGTACATGCTGCAGGACCACAAAGTGTTTTCTCACATGTATTGTCTAAGATGGTGGGTTTGATGTATTTTTAGACAATACACATACTCACTCTTCCTGTATATCTGTTCATCCCCTTCAGAACTTTGTTGGAAAAACATTAAGAAACCAATAAAGTTTAAGAGCCTTGAAACTGTGGAGGAAGTTAAAGAGAGTTATGGATAGTTTATGGATTTTCACATAGAGTGGTTAAATGGAAGATACAACTTGATATCAACCACAGCATTGTAAAAGAATAAATGCTAAATAACCCTATGAATGTATTTGGATCATTTAAACAGCTCTGTTGAATTTATTTTAAAACACATGCTAGTCCCAGATACACTCTGCTATGATTTTCATAACAACAATACAGCACCCAAGGATCATTATGCTTTAAAAAGGGACCTGATCTCAATACACGTTTCTGCTCTGAATCGTGATTTAACATTTTCAGCCATTTGTTATAATGTGCACTGTGATCTAAAATGACAGTAAGAGACCCTTTGTTTAAAACCGTGTCCCCTACTCAGTCCACTTATGTGCTTATGAGAACATAACAATACAGTACAGATATGTGCATATATAAATATATAAACACACATTAGATTCATTTGTTGAAAAGTAATGATCACAACTAATCCACAGACAAACATAGAATGTTTTTTTAGGCCTATTTATGAAGCTATTCATCTAATTTAATTTCAGTAACAAATTGTACATTGTAAGGTTTTTTTTCCTGTTCTGGTTTTTTTGTGGTAGCTACTTTGATGTTTATTTTAAGTTAACACTGAAATATAAAAGCCTGCAGGGAATAATCAAGGAAGCCATTTCAAACAGCTGTGACAACTGCCTTATCAAATAAATAAATAAATATGTTACAGGCATCTAATAAAGGCTTAATGAATAAATAAACAATACCATCATAGGCTATTAGTTCCAATGAGTGGATTAAAACCATGTGTGAGCTTTGATAGTATTGTTTATAAATCTTTAAGTATTTTACTGCCTAAAACAACATAGATTGGTTGAAAATCAACAGTTTTTACAGGAAACATTAAAGAACATTTAGTGTCCAATTATTGCATAGTAAATCTTTCTGTATAGAGACAGGTGCCTAGAAGAGGGATGTCTAACTCAAAAGTTGCGAATTGGCTTCTTAACACCGTCCTATTTGCAAAAAAACTAGATCCTGATTAGGCTTACCATACTGTATAAAAATATATTTGTTCAAATTAGAAAGTGTGGAGGAGCCTCTTTGCACCTTGAGAAGGTAATTATTGGTCAGCAGGCAGTAATCTGAAAATGGCACTCAGCAGATGGTCATGGCCTTTAAAGAAGCACAGTCAAAAATAGCTGCTTGAGAAAAAAAAAATCACATTTTGTTGAATGCCTCTAAAGCAGTGGTTCTCAAACTTTTTCTGTCAGGCCCCCCCTTTGGAGAAAAAAAGAAGTCGGGGCCCCCCCCAACACAAATAGTCAGGCTCAGTGGTGGCGCCAGAGATTTCTTTTAGGGGTGCTGTGGGGTAGCTTGACGTTTCATAGAGGGTGCTCAAACATTTAGGGTTTCCCATTAATGTACCGGTCGCTAGAGTGGAATTTTCTACTGCAACAATCCCCACGCATATACACAGTGTACCCTCGACTGTTACAATGAAGGCTCGATAATCAGCTCACGGCATATACAGTAGGTGTAAGCAGGGGTAAAGTGCTATTTTTATAGGTTGTGTGGACCTTACATAGGGGGGTCCGGGGATCTTCCCCCCCGGGAAGATTTATTTTTAAATATTGAAGTAAAATGCATCAATCCGGTGCACTTTGAGAGCAACATGAAGAGATCTATGGATACATCTCTCAAAACCAATATGAAACAGAACTGTAAACAGGTTTACTTTTTATTTATGGATATTTTACAAATCACCCTTTTAAACTTTACTCTTGTTTTACTGTCATATAGTATTTCATACCTTTTTTTCATTTATTCCCTTGTTTTTTTATAACTATAATGATCATATAAACGTGTGCCTCGGAATTAATTGTTGACATTAATGGTGACCAAAACGTTTGAGACCCACTGAGATAACACTGAGAGAGTCCTTTAGCTCACTGAGTCTCTCAGTCTGACAGGAGAGGACTCTCCTCCACTTTGTTGTTGAAAAAACTCCTTATATCCGTTAGCGTAGCTCGCTAGCACCAGAAGCTAACAACAACGATCTCCGGTACCGGTGCGCTCTCTCTCTCTCTCTCGCTCGCGCACACAAAAAGGCTCGTTCCACATACACACACACAGAGCCGAGCTTTAATGAAACACAGAGACCCAGACATAATAGTACTGTACTGCATCATATTATTTTCGAATCAATAATTTTTCAAATTATGATTTTTTTTGTTTAAATCTTTTTTTTGTAACCATTTTTCCTCCTGGTCTCTCGCGCCCCCCCTGGCATGCCTCTGCGCCACCCAAGGGGGGCGCGCCCCCCACTTTGAGAACCACTGCTCTAAAGCCTTAATAAAATAACCAAAAGCTCAAATTGTTACACACCTATTTCCACAAGGCTGAGAACAACTTGACGCAATGATCATACAGTAATAATACATCTGAAAAATAGGATTCTGCCACTAAGGTTCCTCTTTGTTAACTCAGATGGAGACGTGATTACAGGAGCGCCCCCACTCGCCTGAATGTAGATCTGCTTGCCTTTTGGGGTTCAGGTTCAGAAGAGGTGCACCTGAGCACGTTCCCATTCTTATGAAAAGTGCCTCTGCATGCTCTCTGGCGATGCTAGCAGCCGCCTTGAAACAAACTGACAGCTTCTTTTACCACAGCTCCAACGCTGCAGGCGACTTGATGAACGAAAGAAAAAGCTGGAGAGATTTGTATTTGTCACCACAGAGATGCTAGCTATCTCCCTTTGTACTTCAGGGAATGCATGGTATATGAATTTCCTGTTTGTTTAAAATCATATGTTTTGTTTGAAATTAGATCTCAAAATTAATCTTATTTGTGTTGTATTCATCTATAGAAGTGGTATGTTTTATTTTTACTCTTTTCTATTAATATTAATACTTTTTGTTCTAAACTTTTGCTTTATTTGCATACAGAATATTTAATATAATATAACTCAGATTCAGAATGAAGCGCATACTTTAACGTAATTGCTAAAAGTTCAACCCACATTTCACATAGCTAGAATTACATGTAACCTATAAATAGAGTAAAACATATTAAAGATGAATAATTAATTATAATTACTAATTAGTTATACTGAAGAAGAATTATCATGAAACTACCGTTAAATGTTAAAAGCAAAATAAAAATTTCAAAAGCTGTTGTAGTAAAAGCAGTCATAGTGAAGTGGTTCCAAATGAAAAGAATAATCAATATACACATAACAAAACCAAAGAGAATCAAAACAGTGGAGCAAATGGCACGGATCAGCCCAAAGAGATGATGATATCGCTGTTCTGGGTTTCATTGCAAGGGGCTTTTTGTATTTAGTAGACCAAGTGATTGAACAATTTGTATGCTGCGTGTGTGTGTTTGTGAGTGAAGTAGTGGAGTGTGAACATACATATGTATTGATTGTTTGCAGTGGATGGCAGAAAGTCTGAGGGATGGAAGAGGTAGAGGGGGGAAGATAGTGCCTGCAGGATCTAAGGCGGTGAGAAGGGTAGAAGCTCAGTGAAACTCGTTCTGACTCTTTCCTGAAGTAATGCCTTTGTCCTTTTTTGCCTTGTTCAGGTGCATCAGTAGCCTTATGAAGCTTTCCTGAGAAAAGCGATGCTAACACAAAGCTTTGACAGGAGAGCAGCAGCAAACCACAAAGAAATGCTTCCAATTATAAGTTAAGAGGTATCTCTAAATGAAGATGGCATTGCAGGGAAGGGACAAAACAAACAAATCAAGATCTGAAGTAGTACAAAAGGGTGAATGTGTGGGCATGAAGACAAAAGAGAGGAGAGAAAGGAAAGGTGTCACTACAACTATGGAAACTCTGCACTGTTGGAGAGTTTGTGTCTGTTTGTGTTGACTGGGATGTTTGAGAGATGGTCCTGGAGGAACAAACACACCCAACCAACCGAGTCAATGCTCACACTGCTCTCCCTCACTATTCACTCTACTTTGACTTGACTTTCAAAGGCCAAGGATTCTCTCCCTCAAAGGAGATGCAGAGAAAAACAACAGCAACAACAACACTGCAGCTGTCTATATCAGAAAAGCAACATCTCCATGTTTTTCAAGTTTTAGTTAAAGTACAAGCTGATTTCAGTTTTTCACTGTCTTCCTAAAAAAGTAAATTGTTTTGTATTGATGGAACTGAATGAAGTTAGTAATCCACACATGTTCATTCTCTGACTCTCTACAGGCAGTAAAGAGCTGAATGCCACAGGAAAATCCTTCACAGTGCGGAGCAGTCTCCAGTTCCAGGTGGACAAAGGGGAGGATGGGGTCGCCTACACCTGCAGCGTGGAGCATGTGTCTCTGTCCAACCTTTACACGACAACCGAGGTGCTGGAGGTCCACTGTGAGTGCAGTCATACACCCTGCAAAACTGGATTAGGTGTGAGATTAGCAATGAGAAGAAAATACAAGGATTGAGATTACCTTTATGTCTGCAGGTTTAGCTTTGCATTTGCTCAGGATTAGCGCAGGATTAGTTTGCAGGTAAGGGATTAGTACCAAAGTAGAACAGGGATATGGGAGCTGCCCAGTGGGTAAAGAACTAACTACTGTGGTGTTAAATTAAAAGCCTCTTATATTCAGTTCTGTCGTACCATTGGATATTTTTTGTTCCCTTCTTTACAGATGCTCCGCGTCTGGAGATCTCAAAGCCACAGATAGATCCACTGGAAGGGCAATACTTTAAACTGGAGTGTGTGTCCATAGGCAACCCAATGTAAGTTGGCATTTATTTACGAAATTCAATTTGATGGTGCTTTCTTGCATGATAAAAAAATAGGCAGAAATTACATTTAAATGGGATTACAGAATGTCCATTTTCTTCTGTTTTTCCTTCTGTATCACTGTTTATTCATTGTTTTAAAATTAAGAAAATCATTTGCAGAATGATGAAAAACAACCATTGTTTGTATTTTTCTTGACCAGACCTGAACCAGTGCTGTGGTCTAAAGATGGAGGAGAGCTGCCAGACATTGAGCGTATGATTGTGGAGGGCAGGGAACTGACCATCACCACACTAAATAAAACAGACAATGGCACATACCGCTGCGAGGCCAGCAACCACCTGGGGACCAGCACTGCTGAATACAAACTGTTTGTATATGGTGGGTACAGTAATGGTTTGTCTTGTTATGGATGATCAGTTTTGCTGTTGCTTCATGCTCAAGGCTTTGCAGACTGTGTGCTTACTCAAAGAGGGTTAGTGTTCATTACAAATACACAAAGCCAGCAGTGGGCTCGTCACTCCGGCAATTTAATTGCTAGATATTCAGCCAGTGCACATCATAGATTAAAAAGATTTCTAATTAAAAATAGCATTATACCAAAGTAAGTATGGCTACATAAAAAATAAAAGATTTTCAAAAGAATCAAATACCATGTCCTCGAACCACAATGTTTCTATTCCTATCAAAAGGCCTGCTTCAAATCATTTTGAAAATATGGGGAAAAAGCAGTACTATTATCGCTGTAAGACCATGCAGTGTAAGTGCAAAATGATTTCATTGCATGACCTCACAGAAATACTGAAGTTTCTCAATGCCAGATTGATCTCTATAACACTTTCTCATTGTTAGTGTATGTTCTGGCAGACCCATTATCATTCTGTTTTAGAGGGAAAACACTCTGGCTTGTTCGTAATGCTTTAAACCAGTGGTTCTCAAACTTTTTCTGTCAGGCCCCCCCTTTGGAGAAAAAAAAAAGTCGGTCCCCCCCAACACAAATAGTCAGGCTCAGTGGCGGCGCCAGAGATTTATTTTGGGGGTGCTGTGGGGTAGCTGGACGTTTCATAGAGGGTGCTCAAACATTTAGGGTTTCCCATTAATGTACCGGTCGCTACAGTGGAATTTTCTACTGCAACACTCCCCACGCACACACACAGTGTACCCGCGACTGTTACAATGAAGGCTCGATAATCAGCTCACAGCATATACTGTAGGTGTAAGCAGGGGTAAAGTGCTGTTTTTATAGGCGGTGTGTGGACCTCACATAGGGGGGTCAGGGGGCAAGCTCCCCTGGGAAGATTTGTTTTTAAATATTGAAGTTAAAAGCATCAATCTGGTTCACTTTGAGAGCAAAATGAAGAGATCTATGGATACATCTCTCAACACCCATTTGAAACAGAACTGTAAACAGATTTACTTTTTCTTTATGGATATTTTACAAATCACCCTTTTTAACTTTATTCTTTTTTACTGTCATATAGTATTTCATACCTTTTTTTCATTTATTCTCTTATTTTTTATAACTATAATGATCATATAAATGTGTGGCCTCGGAAATAATTGTTTACATTAATGGTGACCAAAACGTTTGAGACCCACTGAGATAACACTGAGAGTCCTTTAGCTCACTGAGTCTCTCATTCTGACAGGAGAGGACTCTCCTCCACTTTGTTGTTGAAAAAACTCCTTATATCCGTTAGCATAGCTCGCTAGCGCCAGAAGCTAACAACAACGATCTCCGGTACCGGTGCGCTCTCTCTCGCTCGCGCACACAAAATGGCTCGTTCCACATACACACGCCGAGCTTTAATGAAACACAGAGACCCAGACGTAATAGTACTGTACTGCATCATATTATTTTCGAATCAAAACATTTTGAAATTATGATTTTTGTTTTTTTTAAATCTTTTTTTTGTTTTTTTGTAACCATTTTTCCTCCTGGTCTCTCGCGCCCCCCCTGGCATGCCTCTGCGCCCCCCAGGGGCCCCCCACGTTGAGGGCCACTGCTTTAAACCAACCACAAAGTTCTTGGCTGATGCTAAGCACAAAATGCAGCAACGGTGCCATGCCAAAACACACTGGAAAAACTAAAGCGTTGACTTGAATTAAATGTATTATGACAGCAAATTACACATGATTGAACGTTTCAGTTTTTTCAGTACATGAAGACAGCTTAATGGAGGCTGTAAGGAAATACAAAAAACACCTTTAATAATCATCATATAGCCATATATTCATTAGAAATACATGTCCACATTGGAGAAATTAAGGCTCATGGCAAATCTTGCTTTGGAACTGTGAATAACTCGGTTTACCTCAATGCACTGTACGTTTTGCCAAAGGTTTAATGTTGGTCTCCTCCTATGAGGAAACTTCCGAGAAGAGCCTGGGAGAGAGATTAGTTAATCCAGAGACAGTGGAGCAGCTGAGAGAATAAAGACAGCATGGCGTTGAAAACGGATCATAAGGCCTCTGCTGCACAAACATTTATAAAGTTTATCAAATACAGCAAAGTAAAAATACAAAACAAGTGCTGAATATTAAAATTCAACATGGATTTATTTGTTCTCTTTTCTTGCCAATTAAACAGTCCCATAGTTTGTTTGGGAGCGACTTATCACTGCTCAGATGCTGGACTTTTTTAAGCTCACAGGCAGTTAGTGGACGCACTGCAGCTTCTTTGTTCGATTTTAAAGGCAGAGGATTTTGGGGAGAAAAAGCCCTTTATTGAGAAAAAAAGCGGAGGAAAAGAAGGATGACACATTGGTCCTTACCGCTTTTGTTATGTCACTCTCTTTTTTCAGCATACTTATTGAGGGGTAGGTGGCGGTGTCAGACTTGTCCATATCATCCTGTCATACCTGGGAGCCATTTGCTGAACCAGAGTTTCAATCCTTGCATTTCACAGTCAGAATTGTTATAAGAGAAACATTCAAATATGTTGACTCAACCTGGTTTTTGAAAGTCATAGTTTATACGTATATGTGCTGGTAGCTGTTTAAAATTATTGGCGGATTAACAGAGGAAATAGCAACATTTAAAAACCCTTGGCAGCCCTCTCACTAAATACCCATGTTGGTGGGAAGTATGAAAAATGTAGTCGAGCCGGTAAAGGATGTGCGAGATGGGCTCATTTCCAGCGATGACGACAGTCATTCTTCAGAGCTACATCGTGTCTGGCTGAATACTAACCGGGTCTCACCGGATCATCTCAGCCTCTAAACGTAATTTGCTAATGACAGGAGAGCTGAGAAGCAATAAATGTAATCGCTTCGCCGCAATTTATCAATGTCTGCAATTATGCTCCTTAGTACGCTGTATTAAATAAAGCAAGGAACCACTGTATGAATGACTCTGGGTGAGATGTAAGGGAAGTAGTAGCAGATAGTCGTTTAGTTAAATACATTTAAGAAGTGACTGAATCTGATTGTGAAACTGCAGCCTTCACATTTTACTTCTTTATCACACATGTTTACCTCAAGCAAGTTCTACATTCCCTGTGTGTGGCCAATCTACCAACCCATCAATTGCTTTGAAAATGAAATAGATGTAAGACATATGAGTCCTTCGTGTATGACTCATCCTTTTACCAGAGATATTGCTGAAAGAATCATTCAGGGCTCAAGTCATTTGTGCTACTGTATGTCATCATCTGTGCATTTGTTTTCATTATTTTGCCTGTATTCACTGAGATGATGGACCAGAATGAACCAATGTGCTAGCCACGTGCAGTAATTGATTTGTGTTGTTTATTTTTGCTTTAAGTTTTCTCATATTGAGCCAGTTCCCCATGGAGAGGTTTGTTGTTGCTCCCCCTCTGTTCCTAGTGCCTACATCTTCTGCTCCCCTGACTCCCTCTCTAGCCTCTATTCTTCCAGTACGCTAATGCCGACATTCGCCCATCAGGCATAGGCAGTCACAGCTGTGTTTGCAGGTACGCCTGCAGCCCCTCCATGGCCCCGCCTCAACGCTCCATGCACTCACAAACATGACGCTGAACACACAGTTGATGATTGATGAGCTAACAACTGGGCTTTGAGCTAGAAAATAGCATTGTTTTACTGGATGAATTCAATACCCTGTCACATTCGAACACAACTAGCTGTTCTTATTATGTGTGTAACCGTTTTTGATTAGTTATTATTATTGATAGCTGACAATATGCAGACTGTGTAGGAGAACATTACCACACTAGGTTGTTACTGTTCGCAAACCACTGCACAGATTACCATCTTCGCAGAAGCAGAAAATAGAAAGCATTAGTGTTTATACTTTTATTCTTAGGCTGAACGATTTCTACCATTACAACCAAACAATAAGAAACATGCACTTGCCTTTGAATAACATTAACCAAAATCGCACACTCCATGTGTTTACTCCATGAGTTCATCTCCCCGAATGGAAAACCGTGTTGTAGTGTTTGTATGACATGTATCCACATTGAGTCTTAAGAGCACTCCGAAGGTAAAACATGCTAATTGCCTTAACAGTCCTAACAGCACTCTTGTTGTGATGGAGAAGAGAGAAATTTTACTTTAGATTTGGGTTGTCATTTATTTTGATGATCAACATGACATCTAAAGGTGACCCGTGGCATTTTTATGGTAATTTAGTGTTTCTCTCAGAAAAAAATTATGTGGACCCTTGAGCTTTAGCTTTTCATATGCAATGTATTCCTTTCAAATACTTGAAAAGCCCTTTTTGTGTTAATATTTCAAATGTTGTATTGTTTACATTCTTATCATAAAAACTATGCTCTGTATTATTACTGGTGATAACAACAAAACGTACTCAGGGTACTTTTCAATTGTAAGTACCTTGCTTTTAAAAGCTGTGACTCAATATTGCAAACACCTTTGCTATATGCCTATTGTTAAGAACTCTGGTGCTGGTTTGATTTGCCCAGATTTTTTAAATATTTGTCTCTGAGATTCAAGCTTCAACCTATAGAGCAATGTTGGTGACCAGAGCATCAAATATATTATTAAAGCATAATTTTTTGGTGACACATTGAGGATTGAAATAGCCTATTTAAGACACTAATAATTCTCTTTTTGAAAGCCGTTCTTCAGCTTGTCCTGTCGATGTATCTTGTGCTGCCCAACCCCCACCCCCCCGGGTCCATTTCCAGTAACTTCGGTTAGGCAGGTTTATAACACGCTGTCAAAGTAAAAAAAGACCATGCTAATTTCTCATGTTTCCTGCAAACTTTGTGGTCACGTTTTTTTATCACGGTGTTGTCCCCCTCGTCTTCCCTTACTGCTGTCAATGTCTGCAACCATGGCAACAGCCAAAGACTTTCCAGGGCCTACAACAGGTAAATATCCCACTGGACGATCATTGCAAGCCAGATTTACAGTGTGTGATGCTGGATCAAGATCTGGGTCAGGACACATCACAGCCTCCACACAGCATGAGCCAAACCATCACCTTGCATGGATGCTCACTCTGCTGCTCTCTCCAGCCATGTCACAGGCTGCATAAGTTATCACTCACACAATATGTCTCTGGTCTGCCTTGTCTTTGCACAACGAAATAGACAGAATTATCTGAGTGGAGCTGGGCGGCAGATTGTGTTCAGGCCAGTGTTTAAATATTTAATTTCAGATCTTATGATTCTGTAGAAATGTAAGGGAAGGAAAAAACTCTTTTTGAGCGGTCTTTCACTCTTTTGAATACATGAAAATGTTTCTGTTTACCGTATTTTTCCAGTTATGTTCATGTTTTATTCTATTTTCATAGCTTGTGTTTGCTGCAGTTTAGTTAGATATGGTAATTCTGAAATATATTTGCGATGTGTACATTATATATTTGTGTATATATATATATATATATATATATATATAGAGTTAGTCATAAGGTCTAAAGAACATGGAGTTGTATATTTGCAGACAGGATGGAAAAAGGATGGAAACAGTATTCACATTTCATGTTGTCGTAAAGTAACCAAACTTTGGTTTGAATTGACTCATTGATACCTCTTGTGTGCTGCTGAAATATTTATGATTTTTAGTTCCTGACAGTGCGTCTAGTTTTTACGTGGCGACCTAATGTTTAAAAAAAAAAGGTTAACAAAATTGAAAACATAATTTTTCAGATTTGACATAGGAATTATCAATATATTTATATTGGAATTGAAGCTCAAAAATCTGTAAAAATACTCATGTTGTCACACTTAGAGGGGGAAACATGAGTAGTAAGGTGTTTTTATGAATATACGTTCAGCTTGTCTCTTTCCTGTGTGCAGCATGCACCAGCAGAGTGTGATATGAAAATTGCTTATGCTCCTTGTTGACAGTTAAGTCACCCATACAGATCATTATATCCATCAACATGCAACCAAAATTGATTAATTCAACTGTTGTACCAAAACAGTTATCGCTTCAAATTCTGAAGTGCCTGCCTGTGACCCCCTAAACAAATTAATTGTGGTTCTATTCTGCATGGAGTTTAATCAACTGCATGTTTTACAGTCACATCTCTTTTTATTTTTAACATCCCACACGGGGTTGCTGAACATGAGGGTTGCATTCTGTTAAGAGAGGAATATAACAAGGTATGTAGGGAACATTGCCGCCGTCATTTTCCAGGGTCACTTTGCAAAACCGAACACAAGCCATGGCCATTCATCAGCTTGAGATAATGAGAGCACACAAGGTGCACAGTAGAGACACAGCCACTTACAGGTTATTACAGGATGACACAAAAACATGCTCTTACCTGGGAGACCTTCAGCTCACTGCCCGGAGGAGGCCTTGTGTTAAATAACACTTATTTATAAAATAAAACCTGATCCTCAGCAGCAGAATGTTGCAGTGGATTGGGGTAAACAAAAGATAGCATGTGTTAAGACTTTGGTGAAATAATAAAAAATGTCAGTTGTCTTACATCTTGTCACTGTTGCCAATGCTACATTTTAAATTGGAATTACTACATTACATCTTTTAAACCTACATCAATGCACTTCAGAGCAGTGATATCAAGGAGATTGGTCTGAAGCTTTTTTGGGACCGGTCTGCTTTGTTCTTATGTTTTAATCTTAAAGCAACATGTAAAGAAATGTCTCATGACGATTGCAGGAATAAAATATGTAAATAGCTTTTCATTAAATGCCTACACATGCAATAGACAGAAGCGAAGCATCTTGCAGAACTTTTGTCTCTTTACTTTTTCCTCCATTTCTCTCCGTCTTGTTTCAGATCCTAATGCTTTAGGACAACATGGACCTGACCACGCTTTAATTGGCGGAGTTGTTGCAGTCGTGGTCTTCATCACCTTGTGTCTGATAATAGTTCTTGGACGATATCTGGCTAGACATAAAGGTAAAAGAGGTCACTTGAGCTACCATGAATAACAATTTTCTAGCTTGAAGCAATTGTAAACCTATATGGCATGTTGATAACTTGCTGTATCGCTCTGTGTGTCTACAGGGACGTATCTAACACACGAGGCCAAAGGAGCAGAAGATGCCCCCGACGCTGACACAGCCATCATCAATGCTGAGGGAAACCACGTGCATGCAGAGGAAAAGAAAGAGTACTTCATTTAGACCTCTTTTTCTTTATTTCATGACAACTCTTGACAGCAGACATGCAATTGTATGCTGCCTCAGCGTCACTACATCATCTGTTTTAGTTTATTTATTATTATGTCTACTTCAGAAAGCTCATGTTTGAATTATGCTTGTATTCAAAGCATTGTCTGACAATGTAGCTTTCCCTATTCAACAATGTAAACCATACAACAGGACCATTTTCCATTTTAGTTTTACGGTGTCTAAATGCTGTATACTTCTCTGCATTTCTAGCAACGCTCGCATTACCTTTTTTATTTAGTCCTTTTTTCCACTTAATTCACCTGTTGAGTACTTCTGCAGATCTTTTGAAATGTTGAAACACAAAGAGTTGCTTTTCAAATCAAGTTAAATGTTTTGGTTTAAGAACAGTATAGGTATCCATTTATCTAACTCGAAACAGGTTAACATTTGGTTTTGGATGTTGCCTGAAGCTTAATCCATAACAGCCATACTGCATACATGAAAAAACATAAAACTGACAAAATACTTTTACAAAACATAGAAGCACAATCTATGTGATTGTCTCTAGATAAAATCAGATCCCTCTTAGCTCTGTCTGTATATTTCTGCATTGAGTTACTTTCAGTTATTGCTGATGCTGTTGATTTGTACCAACGGAGAACAAGTTAGAAAATTAAAGCACAAAGTCTGAGGACTAACACGGAGGGATAACACTTGTCTCGGGATTTAATATGAGTCTAGTTGGAGAGATGGTGTCAGACAGGAGAAGACTTCAGTTATGGTCATGGATGGTTAATTTCCATTTTTGTTGCCCAATTGATGTAAGATCCAAACTGAATGAGTGGAACCTTGTGGGGGTTCATTATTTATGTTGACTTTTATTGAACAACTATGCTCAATGTATGGATATTGCTGTAAAATACTTTGCTAACGTGAATTTTGGTGACCAATATTGTTGAAACTTTGGATCCCTGACATTACAATTTGTATATTAGCATATACAGTACTTAAAATATTCCACATGTCTTCTTTTTCTTTCTCCCATTTATCTAACAAGAGGTTGTTTTGCCAGGCGGCATGTAAATAATGTGTAAGTATTTAAATTTAGTAAAAGATAAAACACTGGTTATAGCTTTTAATTTCAGGTCTGTTCAGTCCCCATCACTTTGATGAGATTCTTTTCATATTTTTCAAGGTTTTTTCAAACAGGGATTCTAATAAATTGCTTAAAATGTAAAACAAGAAAGAAAAAAAAAGGAATTCTGGTCTAATACTGTACATGTATTTATTATTATGATTGATTGACATTTATTATACTATATTGATTGATATTATTGCTGTTATTACTAAAGTAGTTGTCTGACATTAACTTTTCCATTTTTTAATTCTGTAACGTATCATAAAAAAACAATATAAGGATCACCGTTATGGCCTTTGAGTTTGCTGCAAACAGTACTAATGACATGATGAGGCATTGGTGAATCAGACATGCCCTCACTGTACTGTATATAGTCACTGTATCAAAGACATTGAATCACATTGCCAATGCTCATACATGTTATTTTGTTAGTTCAGTATAATGCTATAAATAACTCATTTTGTAAAAAGTTTTAATCACTGTAATTAATTTGCTTTTTATGGGGGATGTGTGAGGTTTGCTTTTTTTCTCAGTATTGAATATTCATTTTTCAATTATGCCACTGTAAAAAAAGAGAGACGAAGTGCTGATTAAAATATGAACAACTTCAAAACTGCCCTTTTGTTGTGACTAGGTTTGTACTTTGAAATGCACTCAAGACTAATGCGTTTTGCCTGAGAATTACAGCGCTATTAACAACAGTCAAAATATGAGTCTGCATCTCTACAGTTATAAAACAGGAAGCATATGTTGATGGACAGCACTATGGCCAAAAGCTGCAATGTAATTGTTATTCCATGCAACTGTTGAGTATTACACAACCTTTAGAATTAATAATATATGCAAAGTGTTGAAGGATTAAAAAACCATGAAGCTCCTCAGGAAGATTGCCCGAGGCTCTCAGCTCAGCTCATGATTTGAGCATTAATACAGGGCGACAAAAGGAAGTCTTGAGTCTCCCCAATTCCCTCCTTGTCTCACTGGAGACGAGTTCGATATGCTTGAAGGGGCTTCATTAGCTTCCGTAGATGTCAATGCAGTAGGCTGCTGTTGCCTTTAACAAAGGCAACAGGAAGTGGGCGGGGAGTGGAAAACTGGAGGCAAACCACTTTGTGATTTGACATTACGGTCAGGGATGTAGCTGTTGGCTTCCGCTGAAAGTGAAATGATAACACTTAACATAAATGTTATTGATCCCTGTGGGGATATTTTAAATTGGAACATTGACAAAACAAATAGTAAAAGCAGGAAACACGAATGGAATAACAAAATAACAAAATAAGAAGAAAATATCCGGTAAGAAACCGGAGTATTAAAATGAATGGGATATAAGTTAAGCAAAATGTGCCAAATATGGAAGGAGAGCATGGATCAGTGGATCACTGAGAGATAGGTAGGTAATACTAGAATGCATGTTTCCTTATTTACATGACATAAGTATACATGCATGATGTATATGTGCTAAGAAGTGTGCTCATAAAACTACAATGAATATTTCAGGTGCCTGTGGGAAGATTTGAAATGCATGTTTTCCATGAACATGGAGTGCAAATGCATTTTACATGCACAGAGCTAAATGTATGGACATGAAGTGTAATGGTCTGGGGACGAGCCTTTTCAAAAACGACACATTTGACGAAAATGAATGTTGATTATATCTTACATTAAATAGTTATCCACACACATACAGTAAACCCAAGCAAGAAAGCACCTTTTATGATCCATTATCACTGCTTCAGTGGCACTGAGGAACTTCCTGAAGTTTTAGGCTGAGTATGATAGCCTTGTGCAGATTACTGAGCTCATATTAAATATCTTGACATCCTTAAAGGGAGATCTCGTTCCAGCACATGTGGCCATTATGATCCTCAATTCTTCAGCTCCGATTGACCTTGAGCATAATGTTGCCTCCCAGACTAATGTTGCCATTATCAACACACTGTCCAGCCCGCCATCTGCCTGCTTCACACAACGCTTCGCTCTCTCTTTCCTCTCACAGAGACAGTTCCCAAAGCTCACTTCATAATCATTACCACCAAAGCTCAGCCAGTTCAAATAAACATCAGCTCCCACTATCACACTCCTATGCGTTATTAAAAGCTCAGTGCTTTGTTAAGCTATGTAAATTAAGATAGAATGTCTTGAATAATGGCTGGCAGAAAATATTGCTTGGAATCCATCATAATATAGTAATTGGATATATAGTAATTGGATATGGAGTGGGGAAAACATGGCATCTGCAATCGTAAATAGTGAGTAGGAAAATGGATTTTGTGTTTACCCTTGAAATGTGAGAACCAAACCCTGGGCAATGTTACAAACTCAGCATGACCTCTGAGGAGGCCTTGTAAGTCTTACTTAAGTGAAGAAACTGATCCCCACTGTACCCTGTAGGCAAGGTCCATATCAGTCCTCCAGCTCACAATAAGCTCTTATCATAGCACAACAGAAGTCTCTGACAAAATCCTTGAGGGTTGAATTGATATCTATACAAAAAAAAACATTAATAAACTCAGATCTTCAGCACAACTTAAAATATCAGTCCTGCACAATTGAACATTAGGTCTGGGTGTGGTACTCCATGAGCATTTGCATTTTGTTCTAGTCTAAACAACAAGGCTCTAGTTTCCTATTTCATATTAACTTACTTAGATTAGTGACAACTGGACTTTTCATTGCAAGACTTTGCATTAAAAAAGCCCCCAAACCAAATACAAATAGTGATCCTTCTTTTGGATTAACAACACAATATTTCATGCAGAAATAATATTAAGTCCACTTGTTTTCACTATCCAAGCATGTAAATTGCCTTGTTTAAATCACTGGGCGGTTTGCTTAGGAAGTGAAAGGATAAAAGGATTTCAAAGATGTGGTATGTGGCAAGGCAATGCAGAAAAGTGATGAATAAATGTTTGTTCTCTGGATCATGTTTTTAATTCCTGATTTAATAAGTATTAGGGACACTGTAAAGTTACCCAATGATTAACTAAAATCTTTAGTCAGTGCTGTATTTACTGATACAAATAATCATTGGTTTCCCAGATGGAAAAAATCCCTCCAACTATGTACTTTTACTTTTATAATACTGTGTCATCTTTCATATTGCCTGCCAGGCAGAACAAATATTTTTGGGAGAGTTTACTTGTAATCATTGCTGTGCACCAAAAGATGAGGTGCAAAGAGCAGTCAGTGGAAGATGAAATTCACAATTTTTCAATATCCTCCTTTTCATTTTCAGAACTTTGTGTTGGGAGTCTGTTATCGTTGCCCAGAGAAGCCCAGGGTTGCATTGTTTGTATAAATAGTTTTGTTTTTGATTGACAGCTCATTCTAATGGAGAATCGGGGAGAATAATAATGGCGTGTTTGCAACACAGGTGCTACCTCTGAGAAGAGCCATTGCAGAATAAATCTCACGATGAGGCCATCTAACATTGCATGTACACCTTTAAGATCCAGAATATTTCAAAAATGGTCACAGCTATATTAGCTAAATGTTGTTTTACTTTTATATAAGCTCAAACAGCACATTACACGTTAAGCTAATAAAGGTGGAGCGCAGCTGAGCCTTCTGTAGCCCCTATGACTCATAGCTTCCACATTTACACATCATCTGTATTAATGCTGAATCACAGGGCTGTAAAATATTATCTTGAGATGTGTTTTGCCTAATCATATTTGATGAGATTAAACAGATCACTCACACTTCCACTTGTGACAGGGCCGAGTACAAGTGAGAAGGAGTCAAATGATCTGGAACACAGAACATGAGCTTGTGTATCCCCCTGGATGCATCACCATGCCATTAGTCTAGATGAATGTGTACAGTCAGATACAATTCCCTTGTTTGCTGCATGAGGGCTTCCACTTTGGAAGGCTCCGCTGTTTGAATCAGGCCACATGCAGGCCCGCAGATTGATGACTGAAACAGGGTAACCCACTGTATTTTAAACTCATTCATCCACACTGACTCACATTCTCTGTGGTGCATCTTTAAATAGCCTGCCCTGGGATTGTCTGTCTGCCATTTGATTTATTCTATATTGTATTTTTAGATCTAATTAAAAACAAACTTTTCTGCATTGTTTGGCGGAATTCTGAATCTTACAGGCCCAGGAGACATAAAGAGAAGTCTTATCTTGGATAGTCTTTTTTTTTTTTGGAGGGGGAGAGGTAGTACCTGTGGCATAAGGTGTGCAATAAATAGAGTGCCATCTGTTTGGATTGAGCACTTGAGATTCTTCCAAGGAACTCACCAGAGACTTAATTAAAGTTGGAATATTACTGAGTGGGAGACTGATGTTTCTCCAATGAAATGACAGCTATTGAAATCTTAGCATTTGTTTGATAACAGAGATTTTTCTTTTGAGAGTGAAAAGATAGTGTTGCACTTATCCTTAGAGAACGTCATAAGATATGGTTTCCATGCTTTTTACCAGTGGTGTCTTTGTAGCCGTTCAATCTGTTAAAGTTCTGCATTTATTTATTTGTAATCCTGGATTCCATTTATGCTAGCATGGTTTGCCATTTCCAACTGCGCACATCAAATGGAAGAACAATAAAAGATGTTGGATGTAGAAAAATAAGTGCTTTTGGCTAAATTGTTAATTAGCCAGTGAATCAATGAAGGTGCATATTTCGGAAAGAAAATATTCCATTGGCTTATTGTTACCAAAATAAATAATACCTTGCACTGTTGGAAAACTTAAGTTGTCTAAAATGTTGTGAATGTTTCTGAAAACTCTAGTTCAACATCCTATCTGCTGTCATACACTTGTATAATTTAACAATTGCTTTATTACTGCAGTTAGAAGCATGTTTTTCATATACAATTGATGCCCTTTGATACAAGAAGATTGTGAGGTTTACATTAATTTTTCCGTGCAAAGAAATCTAACAACTGGATGATGTCCTGACATGACAAAAGATAATCATTTGTTTTATGGACAGGACAACAGTTAATATTAAGGAATTTAAAATAAACAACAACTACATCATTAATCAGCATACCACTACGGCATTATTTCTCCTGTGCATTGCATTATAGATATTTCATCTTCAAATAACAAACACGCTCCGATGCAAACAGAATAATAATGTGTAAACAGTGTATTGAAATGGTTCTGACAAACGGCTGTGCCTGCAGGATGCAAGCTGTCTGGATGTGGGTGGACATCAGGCGTTGGCATCAGCCTCATTACCATCAAGGTCCCCCTCTCCTCCTCTAGAGTGCTTCTTTTTTTCCACTATTTATAGTAATGGCATAGGAGAACATCAGGTTAAATTCTTCTGGTTTAAATTAATGTCAGTAACACAACGTATGCTTTGGCTCAATACACGGCTGCCAGTTGTTGCAATACGCTGTTTATAATGTCTGTCTTGTATTTTTACATCAAATATTCTGGGTTTCTTGAGTTTGCAAAAGAATATCATTTACCAAATTGGTTGTGTTTGAAGTAGCTGTGAATAATTCTCAAAGAGTTCAAAATGAGCGCTAAAGCGAATATTTTCCAAATCTACACACAGATGTTTTAAGCAGACACTACTGTTGATGCTTGTAATGCACACATGGTTTCTATAGGAATGCAGATGCGCAAGTGGGTTTTTCTTCCTCATGTAATACACTTTGGCAGGCTGGATTTCTGCAAGGCCTTGACCCTAGTCAGTTTTACATGTTTCATTTCAAACATGAAAACATGTTGGATGTCAACAACAGTGTGCCAAAACTATATAAGAAAATCTCTTCAGCATGGTTTAGAGTAGGGGTGTCCAAACTACGGCCCAGGGGCCAAATGCGGCCCACGGGCCATTTTGAATCGGCCCTCAGCTAATTAAAAAAGTATAATGAAATATGGCCCACACATTAAACTTGTGCTTGTCTTATATTGTACTTCTCAAAATATATGACACAATATTCATGTNAAACATTAAAACACCTGCGGCTTATAGTCCAGTGCGGCTTATATATGTACACATCATTCAATTTAGCTGCTGCGGCTTATATTCAGGTGCGCCTTATAGTCCGAAAATTACGGTACACAGAATCACACTGCACACCTACGCAATGATTACATTCAGGCAGACTGTAGAATACAACCTCTTTGGACAATTTATATACTTATTGAAAACAAGCTACAAAATGTAATACCTTGGAAAATGCCGTTTAATACTTTTTAATAGCCTTCATTTTCGCTAAATTGATTTATCAACTTTTAATACTTTTTAAGACCGTGAGCAGCAGCCCACACATGCACAGGGACAGAGCAGTTTATACACAAGGAATACAATTAATCTGAAGTCCAGCAGGGATACGTACAGGTATGCAGAGCAGCAGAGGGTCCACAGGCATCCTGAAGGGCAGAGACTCTGGATCCTGTCGGTACAGAGACTCCAGCGTCGGCATCAGAGCCTGGCGGAGCTCCTCTGGTTTAAAGACTGGAGGAAAGAGAGATTAAGAGAAGAATTAGATTACAGAGGAATCAGAAAACGTTTCCCTGCTTCGCTTCCCCCTAGAGATGTCCCGATCCAATCACGTGATCGGGGATCGGAGCCGATCACGTGATTTTCAAAAGATCGGAATCGGGAGAAAAAAATCGGGGATTGGGATTTTTTTTATTTTATTTTTTTCTTAAATACTTTTTTAAAATTTTGTATTCAATGTTACAAAACAAAAAATGACCATGTTCAAATCTTAAAGTCATCCTGAGGCCTTAGTTTTGGTTTCAAATTACACATGTATGTATCATGCTTCTTTGGGGCTTGTTTTCATAGACCTGGTTGCTTATTTCTCTCAAATCTGGCAACAGAGTGGGCAGGGCACAGTGTCTAATTGTAGCAGTAAGCTAACGAGTACTGATTAGATTTATTTTGTTTTGATCCAATGCTGCTGTGAAAAAAAGAAGCTCTATCCATGTTGGATAGAATATCCAATTTAAATAAAAAAATAACCTCAAGGGACAAGGGACAACATTGCATAAAGATCGGATCGGGAAAAATCGGTATCGGCAAATTGTCAAAATCAAATGATCGGAATCGGATCGGGAGCAAAAAAAGGTGATTGGGACATCCCTACTTCCCCCCCTTAAAACCTACTTATTTATATATAAATAGTTATCACTGCAATAAACCGTATTTGATTTTATCTTAATGTACACTATTTAATATTCTGTTCTTGTACATATCATATTCTATTTACATGTATATAGACTTTTTGCACTATTTAATATTTTTGATTTTATTATATATGTTGCATTGCGGGAGAAGCCCAGGTCAGAAGAATTTCACTGCCATTTCTACACTGTAGCTCAGGGCTATTCAATTAGTTTGGAATGGGGCCGGTTGATGAAAATGATCCAAAGCAAAGAGCCGGGAAAAAGATGTCTTGAAATATGAGCAATCATATTAAGAGCTCCAGATACAGTAAATATTACAACAGCATAGTGGAGTGCATATATTGTGTTTAATTAAATCAAACAACATAGCCCCAAGGCCTTTAGAGATCTAAATGGCAAGTTCATGTGAAGCTAATTTAACCATCAACATCATTTCATTTGATTTAATTTAGGTGAAATTATCTAATCATTAGAGATGCAATAAATGACAGGAGTTGTCACTATAGTAGCTAGTAGGTGGGTTCGAAACCCGAGCCCGTCAAAGTTTTCAGGCAATGTCTTCCCCTCTATCTCTCAATTTAACACCCTCTCTGGAATAAAGGCACTCTGGCCCAAAAAAAAGAAAAAATCTTAGAAAAAGAAAAAAATAATTTGATTACTTTTTAACATTATACTCAAAGGGCCAGATTTGGCCCGCGGACCGCCAATTGAATAACCCTGCTGTAGCACATATTTAGCCCAATACTAAAAGTTAGGTTTTGCAGAGAGAGTTTCAAGTAAAACTCACAACTCAAGAAAACAAGTTTGTGCACTTGGACAATTCTCCTTAACTTAACAATGTACACGCAGGGCATGTTTGTGTGTAAGGGTGGTGTAAAGGGTCCTGAGGGAGGAGTAGAAGAGCCAAATGAGTTTTTCTCACAATGCTCGTCTGTCAGGTTTATTCAGGGATTATCAGTGAGGTCTTCGTGCTGAAGGTTATTCTCATCCTTTCTATCATCTGGATTCTCCAATCCGAGCAGATTCATGTCATCACTACATGTACAGTAATGACACCAACACATGGTCAGACAGAGACCCTTTTGATTAGTGGGGATTTTAAAAGGGACTTAATGAATAAATCTGGATTTAGGAGTCCAGTAGGCCTCACAGCTGTGTGCAATAAGACTGTGTGAAGCGGTCTAATCAAACAGCAACTTCACCAAGCGATACGTCTAACCTATGTGGTGTGAGAGACCTTTGCATAGGAAACGGATGACACTTATTGAAGGGGAAAACGTGATGTTTAAGTTTAATCAGGTTTAATCTTCAATCATATGTTTCTTTCTGGCCATGTACCACACTCAGTTATATGAATTGCTCTTTAATTAACATTTATTTTTCTTTAAACAGAAATGAGTTTGTTACTGAAGACAAATCTATTCAATCAACAGGAAGCAAAACAAACGTATTCTGAACACAATTAGCAAAACAACACTAGAGTAAAACAAAGGCTACTTCATTATTACAAAGGGCTGCATTGCTACCAAAGCTTTAAGATTTGAAGGATAAAAGAACAAGATGATAAACCAAAAGGCGCCATTCGTCCCCAAAACATTGGTATGAGTTTGTGGTGGTGTAAAGCCATGTGATCATCAGTGGCATTTGGCTTGTGTCACTCCAAATGCCCCCAATAAATTCTGTTTATTTGTTTTGGGGTTGACTGCTCCTTTAATTCTATTTTCGGCATGCTTTGATTCACAGCGAGACAAAAATGCCAAGGGCTCAACATTGGCAAATTTCAGTTGGTATAATGATTTGCATATATGCCATCTTCTCATAAAGAAAAAGGATGCAGCCCATTTCTCTGTAATAGAGACTAAACCTGCATGTTATTCAGCTGAGCTCACTTCATTATCAACTGCTTTCAAATATCTCTGAGCCCTGCTGCCCACCCGCCGCTCCACACACACACACAGAGGCCATGCTGCCTGCTCCATTTACATCACTGTCCACCATGTAATATGCTCAGAGATACTTCATATTTCCTCTGGGGATCCAGCCAATGCTAATGTCCAATAAGATGCAGTTAGCCATTGTCAATGTTCTTTGCCTAGCGTAGCACTCATCAATTATTCATGTTTTAAATTGTTTAACATTTTCCAGGCTTCTGCTTGACTTTGCATTTATGTGTGTGACAATAAAAGCTGATGGACTCATAGGTTTTGTTTTCTGTTCTCTCTTTGCCACAGGCACAATGGAACGGCTTGACCGGGCAAATAATTGTAAACAAGACGGACGGCCTGCGGAAAGAATTTGATTTAGATGTCATCAGCCTCAAGGAAGATGGCTTGGAGAAGGTGAGCTATCTAACCCAAGTCTATTATTAAAGGCTGTTATTGTGGAACTTCATAGCAGAGCATAGACAAACAGGGTCACAGCTATTCACTGTGAACAATATACAGTGTCAGTATTGAAAACCGGTGTAGCAATTATGCCAAAGAAAAAAACATGCAACTGTTTTGATACACAGCCTTTTTTGCAATTAGTTTTGTAGCTGTCATTTGAAGGTGTGCAGATGTTCCTTTAATAACATTGACAATGCTGCCCTCCAATTAGGCAAGTCATTATTTTTCTTCACAACAAAGAAATCAAACCTTGGTTAATACAATTGAAAGTACAGGTTGTAATTTCAAACCAAAGAAGAGTTATACCCAGATTTATTTATTGTATTTTTTGTCTTTAATCGCAAATTCTTCATCATTGTTTTTGACTTTAAGTTCAGGACCTTGTCATTAAAATTCTTTCTCTTTATTATTTCTGCAAGACAATCGCGGGCAACAATCGCCTGAATAAAGTGTGGAAAAAGGTTTGTACTTTAGCTGCCCTAGCAGACTAATCGAATATGACCTTTTTTAAATGGATTTTCTCTACCTTCAGTGTGATGTCTCCCCTTCTTCTTAAAAATAAGTTTTAGGAACTGGTGGAAAGAAATGTTCAACATTTCTGCACTTGACATGGAATTTCAAGCTTCATTTCAGATGTTGTGTTTTATAACTTTTCCTTTTTTTCCTTTACCACTCTCTCATCTCTGTTTGGACTTTAAATGTATTCTGATTCCTCGTGCTTGTTTTCCCCCCCTTTTACGTTCCTTACCTTGTTCCAGTAAGCCTGACCTGGGCAACTATTTATCTTTGACAAATGTGTGATTATTTAAATATCTTATTCTTTACAGATTGGCGTGTGGAACACTCAAACAGGCCTTAATTTAACAGAAAGCAACAAGGACTCATCCACAAATGTGACCGACTCAATGGCCAACAGGACACTCATTGTCACAACTATTCTGGTATGATCTCAAGTTATTATCAGACAGCATTCATTCATGAATATCTTGACAAAAACGAATAAAGTCGGTTTTCTGCCTCGTTCCAGGAAAATCCCTACGTCATGCATAAGAAATCTGATAAGCCCTTGTATGGAAATGATCGCTTTGAGGGCTACTGCCTCGACCTGCTCAAAGAGCTCTCCAACATTTTGGGCTTCTCCTATGAGGTGAAGTTGGTGACTGATGGCAAATATGGAGCTCAGAATGACAAGGGAGAGTGGAACGGCATGGTGCGAGAACTCATTGACCATGTGAGTAGCAGTCAATATTATATGTGAGAGAATATCCATATGATCCGCATCTGTTTCTGACTCTGGTTCTGCCTGATGCTTCTGTACCAGGTGGCTGACCTCGCTGTGGCCCCTCTCACTATCACATATGTGAGGGAAAAGGTGATAGATTTCTCCAAACCCTTTATGACGCTGGGAATCAGCATCCTCTACCACAAACCCAACGGCACCAATCCAGGGGTGTTCTCCTTCCTCAACCCTCTGTCTCCTGATATCTGGATGTATGTGCTACTGGCATGCCTGGGTGTCAGCTGTGTGCTCTTTGTTATTGCCAGGTAAAGCATAAAGAACATTTAAATGGATGAAGATGATTGTGTGTATACAATTCTTTGTCTGTTTTTTTTTGTTATGGTTTATTGCACTTTAAGTCACATTGTTTGGCCAAAAATGTTTTTTCAATTTCCTCTAACCGTTTATAATTCCTGAATTCAAACGGCCATTTGGATTTATTTGTATTCAAGCATTTATTTTGGCTGCAACAAGGACCTATAGATTTGTTTGCACACTGCTGCAGTAACTAGCAACAGTAGTTTATTTGTATGTGCCTTTGGTCATAAGGAGTTTTGTTTGTTGTATAATTTATTGTTTCTTTTTGATTCTTCTTCCTCAGGTTTACTCCTTATGAGTGGTACAACCCTCACCCCTGCAACCCAGACTCGGATGTGGTCGAAAACAACTTCACTCTAATAAACAGTGTCTGGTTTGGAGTTGGAGCACTTATGCAGCAAGGTACACTTCCTGCAATCATTATGTTGTTATGCTGTGTTCATACCTGGCAGTAGTTTCCCTTTGGTAGATCACCTTCAGCCATCTCCTTCATGCATAGTATAATATGTGTGGCCTGCCTTTAAATAAACAAGATAATCAGTGGCATTACTATTTTTGTCACCTCCTTTACCATCTTTGATGTATGTATTTGTTTGTGGAATTCCTAATGTACCTTGTGTTATCTTATAGGATCTGAGCTGATGCCTAAGGCCCTCTCTACGAGGATAGTTGGTGGAATATGGTGGTTCTTTACGCTGATCATAATCTCCTCATACACTGCCAACTTGGCTGCCTTCCTCACTGTGGAGAGGATGGACTCTCCAATCGACTCTGCAGATGACTTGGCCAAGCAAACGAAAATAGAGTACGGTGCTGTAAGAGACGGCTCCACCATGACCTTTTTTAAGGTAATCTTCTTTCATTGTACAGCAAATGGTAGATGTACCTTTACAACAATGGGGATGCAAACAAGAACACCACTTTTGAGTTTAATAATCCTGACAACTTTTACCCTTGAGCCATCAGTCATTACCGCAACGTGACAAGTTCTGTGTGATGGGTTGGGTTCGGGATAAAAAGGAGGGTCAAGGGTTAACTTCCTCATACATGCAGATTAAGAAAAGCCTCTGGCCAAATCTTCAATAAAGATTCAAGGATGTATTATTCTTCAGAGAAAATGGAATCAACTTGGGCAAATGTGTACAAACTTGTCCCATCCAATCTCCTGCTATTCATCAGGATGGTTGCTTTAGACTCCAAAATTATATGAAATATTAAATAAAAGCCTCAACCAATGACCATGCATCCACATTGTCTGTGTTGTGCAAAGGTCTGTGTTGTTGTTGCTCCCTTGACTACCATAATGCATTGTTCTAAACTTCCCAATTCTTATTTAACAGAAATCTAAGATCTCAACTTACGAAAAAATGTGGGCGTTCATGAGCAGTAGGAAAAATACGGCCTTGGTGAAAAACAACCGGGAGGGGATTCAGAGGGTTCTCACCACAGACTATGCTCTTCTGATGGAATCGACCAGCATCGAGTACATCAGCCAGCGTAACTGCAATCTCACACAGATTGGAGGCTTGATAGATTCAAAGGGCTATGGAGTGGGAACCCCAATTGGTAAGAGACATGAAAAACAAAACACAAAACAACAACGATAACCAAAAAATGCTCCCAATCTGTCTACAAAACAAAAAACCCAAAGGTTATGACGCTGGTTTTGACTGTAATAATGATTTGATCCGGCTGCTGTTTTTAGGTTCCCCTTACAGAGACAAGGTCACCATCGCCATCTTGCAGCTTCAGGAGGAAGGGAAGCTGCACATGATGAAGGAGAAATGGTGGAGAGGAAATGGCTGCCCAGAGGAGGACAGCAAAGAGGCCAGTGCTCTGGGTGTGGAGAACATTGGCGGAATCTTTATTGTGCTAGCAGCCGGACTCGTCCTCTCAGTTTTTGTAGCAATTGGAGAGTTTATTTACAAATCCCGAAAAAACTTGGACATCGAGGAGGTGAGTGTTGGTCAGTGCGAATGGCATAACAAGTATTAACACGCTAGGGGACTTGATCAAAGACTGTTATAAACGCACCTACACATTTATGTTGTTATCGTTGTCTTCAGAGGACTACAGTAATCACTGGGCCAACAAGAAATATGAGTCTGAATGTGTTGAACTGCATTGTTACAATCAAAAAAGAAATGCTTTTTAATAAAGAGTTGAGTGTTTTCAGTAGTTTTAATGTAGAGCTCATGGACATTTTAGTCTTAATTGGAAGAATACTTTTGAAACCCTTTCCTATGATGACAGATGGTTGTTGACTTCTGACATCATGACACTTGACCATCTTGGCCTTGCTTTTTTTGCAAAAAAACTGTTACATTGTTTTGTGTGGAACAAAAAGGTAATTGTCATGCCATGATATTGTGAATACGTTAGCAAGAGTTATTTTTTAAGGCTTGTTTGTCGTATTATTATGAACAACTGCAGTAGGGTTGGGAGGGTTCTGTAAAATGTTTTGGTAATTTTCATATTAAGAGTGCAAAGAAACTTCTTACCACTTTTGTATGTATTCATGTATTTAAAAAATAATAACTTGATTTATTCATGTTTCCATTTTGTTTTTGAGTGTTCCCACAAAATGTTATTCAAGTTGTTTTACACTCAGGCCATCAGTTGCTTACTGTCTGCTGTTTTCTTTTGCTTTTGTATCATATCAAGTTCACAAACATGCATGTATATGTTTCGTCAAGTTGGAATTGTTTCAGAATGACTAAAGTTATGTGAGAACATTACGTCCTTTAACCTTTTATTTCCACTTGTTTTGGCTTTGATTTCTCCCTTTCTCTGCACGCACAGATTTTTCCCTTCCTTGGTGGAGAGGTTAGCAAGTGGGATAAATTTGCACAATTTCAAATTCCAGCTGTCCCAGTTTGAATATTTGATGGTTGTGATCCTTTTTAGTTCCCTTATAATTTGTTTCTGGGGAACAATTTTCATTAGACAATTCACTCGTGTAATCTGAGAACAGGGGTTATTATGAGTTCAGTAAACTCAGGTTTGCTTGTTGTTGTTTTTGGCCTGCACTATAGAAATCATACTTTATTACACGTATTATTTTGTATGCATACATACTTCAATGTATATCACCATGGTCTTATTTTTGGCATACATAGATGTTGCTTGCAAGCACCTCAACAATTAACCAACTATTATACTTTTGTAAATTAAGAATATAAAGCAGCACAACTAGTCTTAACCACAGTTATGTTGGTTTTGCACAGAATGTAAAGCAACTCATCGTGCAGCAGTTGACATTTAGCGAGATGTTTTTAGGATTAAAGGTTAACTCGGGTGGTCTCATTGGCTGAGGACACATGTCACTGTCTCAGCTTCTTGTATCCCTGACTCCCATTTCTCTTAGCTTCCTCTCAGTTCTAATCAGACACATATTCACCTCACTCGGGCTTAGGCTTGTAAATAACATCCTCATTATGAAGTGGATTACAAACACATATTAAACACTCCTGGTTTACAGGCCACACATGTCCCACATTAGATTAGAAAATCCTGCATATGTAATGAAATTCTTCTTCCCCGAAATCCAACAGTTCATTCTGAGCTCTGCTTGTTCTGCCTCTGCTTTATAGGATTTCTGCCACATTCAATTTGATGTGACATAATTTCAGGTTTGAAATAATAATACCTGTAACTAAGGACAGATTGGTGGGATTTATGAACAACAACTATGATTGACTACTAGTGATTATGAGTTTTGCAAAGATGATTTTTGACTTACTTCTTGCTTTACACATACAACATTGATTCAATATAATGCTAATTTGCTTTTTGTGATAGCCCAAACATTTAATGGGAATCTAATACAAATGTTGCATTTATTGGCAACACCCATTTGCTCACAATGACACTGCAGTTTTGATCATTTAATTAGTATTGCCGGAAAAAACATGTTAGTATTAAAACCTTTAAGTTTAAATTAGAAAAGTTTAACGGTATGTGAATGCCCACCATGAAAGAAAAAGGAGATAATACATTTTGAAATGAAATCATGAACTTTGAGGGAATTTTTCAGGTACCACAAGTTTGAAACTAGCAACAATCATAAGATTACAGGTGTTAACAATACTAAGCTCTAAAAACTATAAACTCCCAGCTGTTTCCATTTGAGAGATGTGTCTTAGTGACTGAAACCGTATGACGCCAGGTCAAACTCTAACAATCAACTGGAACAATACTGTGATGTTAAAGATGTTTTGAAGACCAGTGTGTTTCTTCATTTTGACCTGTTGATTTAGCGCTGTGTCTTCCTTTTCTTTGCTTTTACTATTTTACTTTACAGTTTCCTTTCAATGTTGTGATGGAGGACCTGGGTATGTTTTTAGTCACATGACAATGAAGAGAATAGTCAAAGCAAATGAGAGAGCAGCATTACACAGCATGTTCCTTTGCCATACAGACACACTTTGAGAAAACAAATCTAATGTATTGAGTTTTTAAAACATGATTTGACTGCTGTTATATTGATTGATATACATTTGTTAATAAAGATAAATCTTATATTAAGTTTAAATTGTTGTTTTAAATTGTTAAGAGAGCTGCACCTCTAGCCACCAGCTTCAAATGAGATGCATAATTGAACTGGATATCTTTTGGATACATTTGAGAATCTTTGTAAATTATGTTTACTGTTTGCACTCAAAGGAATCAGCAACCATAATATAAAATGATCTAACTGTTTATTCTGTCAAATCCAATGAAAATGCTGTATAACGTATGTGAATTTGTTAAAAGAATGATGGCTTCCCCCTTTGGAGATATGTTCTGTGCTGCTTAAGAAAAAATGATTTAATTCCTAATCTAACTTTCAATACAGAAAAGTTCATTAAAAACGATGCAGAACTGCAGGCATCATTTTTGCTTTTCCACTTGGCTCTTGATTGATAAATGTTGGTTAAATAGTGAGACCCTGACACAGTATGACTTATTTGATGGATCCTATACTGAGTGGTGTTTTTTTTTATGTTTAAAGCTTTGCAAATGCAACACAGCGTGGACTGTTGAAACAAGAAAGCAAATGTGAATGAATGTCATCTGTCACTGTTCAACCAGCTGTTTGTTAATCTGACAGTTAAAGAACAGGGTGCTATGCGAGCTGGGGTCGGCATGTCCCCTGGTTTCTCTCATTTCTCTGGGAGATTACAGTATTATGGTCCTCATTTATATAATCCTGTCAATGGGATACAGCCCCCTTTTCTGCGCTGCCCCCAAAATGAAGTTCATTGTGACTACAGCATTTAATCAGTTAGGATACAGTTGCTCAACAGCTTATAAGATTGATGTTGTGTTGCAAGTCATGGACCTTATGCTTGGATTGATTACACAAGTAGTGTGTTTTTCTCTAAGATTTTGACCCCTGGTAGACAAACTCCACAACTATATGTATGTCCACTTCTTAGCTCTTCAATCATAAGGCTTTGACAAAGGTCCTTGCTCTGAAGTTATTTTATATTTATCCAAATATAAATATGGATATGGAAAAGTTTAGCAACCACATATGTAACTTTCAATTGTTGCTTCTTGTTTAACAAGAACTACTTTATGACATTTGAATCTGTGGTCAGTTTTAGCCTGCAGGACAAGTGAAGTCTGCAGTCAGAGTGCTACACTGAATAGTGTTTGTCAATGTTTTTAGTATATTCTCTGCTCTAGTATATTCGCAGGCAACCTAACTTCCAGATGTTTTAATTTCTAATCCTTGTTTTTCCCGCTTGCCTCCTGTTTCCTAATCTTTGCTACCTAAGTACTGTGGAGTCTGCCTATCAGAGGATAACGACTGGAATCATTGTAAAAAGCAGGTAAAATAAAAACAAGTAAACCCATCCATCCTTTATCTGTAACCACGTATCCTTTACAGGGGAGGGCTGGAGCGATCACAGCTGAAATTGGGCAGGAGGGGGCCAGTCATTCAAACTCACTCCTACAGGTCATTTAGAGTTTAGCACAATGAACATAACCTACATGTCTTTAGACTGCGGGAGAAAGCCAGAGAACCAAGAGAAAAAGAAAACACAGGGGAAATAAATAAAAAATAAATACAATAAAAAGTATTGTTCATTTTACTGAGCCAATACATGCTGACACTGTTTTAATAGGATTAAAAAATCTACATTTTCAAAGAGAAAAAAAAACAGAGGAGGGAGGTGGGGACAAACGACAAAGTGTGAGATCTTTATCAAGACTTGAGTTTTGAAGAAAGAGAAATATATGCTCGAACACAGAAGATATATCAAGATTGATCAGAGTTCAGAGGGGCTTTGCATTAATCTCACGTTGTAATGACAGTTTAAGGTTTTGGTATTCTGATGAATTCCAGGATTGGGCTTAAACTGCTTTCATTTTGTTTGCTGGTCTTTAATCTTCTAACCCTGCGTTCTTAATCACAACTCAGAGCAGGTTTTTAATCCCGCATGAATGAGGCCGCGGATTATGGGCCTCTGACCTTGCCATGGCGCACAGCTGCTTCCTCCTCAAATCAAGTTTCTCTGCCTGTGTAGCTCGCAAGAGAGGATAATCTTACTTTTGTGCGCTACAATGCTCCTAAATACAAATTGTGCATAAAAGAGACAAACAAATCCTAATTTTTTAATGGAACATCATACACTGGTCCAATTCGTGATGCTTTGGAGTGCTTTGGTATTTGAAGGTGATGCCACTTTTGACAACCATCAACTTGAGGATTTTCTACGGATGTGTGTCATGATATCTAATCTCTGTGGCATTATCATCATCTAATCCTTTTGACTTTTAGATGCAACACCACTTGTCGAGTCCAGAGCTGAGCTTTGTTTTTCAGTGTGTGTGTGTGTGTGTGTGTGTGTGTGTGTGTGTGTGTGTGTGTGTGTTGACTTCTGAAAGATGGGTACAGGTTTTATTAGTGGCTTCAGTGTTTCCCTGTAATTACCACTTTAACCTTGAAAACTGTGTTCTGAGGAAAACACAATGAGATTGCTTTTCCTTCATTTAAGTGCTACAGTACTTTGATGTTAATGGACAACAAGTACTTGGAGATTCCCCTTGTGTTCAGCTGAAACAGGTCAACATACACAGTAGACAATCAAAAACGTAAAATAAATAGGTATACATGATTGTAACTGTGTTATGTTTTCAGCTCAAACATGGATCTTCACAAGAATGAGCAGCTGAAACAAAAGTGAGATGAGGAATGTTGGGAATAATGAGCAATAACAGCAAGCATCATGCACAAACTGTTTATTTTCTTGTAATTATATTGGTGTATGATATGTTGACTTACAGGTGCTAAAAGCAATGCATATTGTGCATAAGACCTGGGTTGCTATGACGAATGATGTAAGGAAAAACTCCAAACAGAATGAGATTTTTTGTTTCTTTTAAATAGATAATGAGATCGCTTCACAACAGATTTCATGATAAGGTCCTACCTTGAAAGAAAAGTATCTATAGCTGTTCTTTGATGATAGATGATAGCTTCAGGACCTCTTCTCTCTTTTAAAATATTATTTTGTGCTACACTTTACCACGAATGAAGGAAGACGATAACTTAAAACGACACCACCTATTGGTAACAAAAGTGTCTGCAGAAAATTGTCTTCATGCGTGGCATTTAAAGGAGGTTAGGGCTACCGCTTTAAACAAAAAAAAGTGCATTGTTTCTGTTTATGTGTGGCACAACACCAGGAGGTCAGCTGGCTCTGACTTTCCTTTCTTTTTCTTTATGTGTGTACATCTGATTGAGTAATGACTTGAACCCAATCTTGTGTTGTGCTGCTTATTTTTACGTTTAAGAAATACAAAGTTTAGACCCAATTGTATAATTGTAAGTCTGAAATATATTGATTTCACTAGTTTTCTTCATTGCATCTACAGCATAACGAGTCTTAATGATCGGTCTGCACTGCTGGGTTAAAGGAATGGATGGTTGCCATATACACCTTACTATTTCTAATTTCCTGTCTCTGGGTACTTTGTCTCTTTACAGAGCTCAGGTCGTTTATCAACCTTATCTGAGTCTGACTCTAATTTCAACTCTAATTTAGTTCCATCTGTAATCTTCCTAATGACGCTGTAGATCCATAACATGTGTAGACAACAGTTTAGTTCCGTTTAGATTTATTACCCAGCACAATCTTAATATCCCGTGGGAATGGAGGAAGTTTTGTCTTAATGTATGTTCATATGACCGCAGTGTTATGTGCAATAAGCAGGAATTGTGTGTACCGGTAATTTATAAGAATGTATTGTAATTGAGTACTGCAAGTTGTTAAAAACCATCATACTCTTCGTCACTAAAAGCCCCAGCCACACTTTTTCTTAATTTCAGTATTTTTTGTTGATTATTTCAACCAATGCTCACATGTACTGTCATGAGCGATACTACATGCCGTTTAAGGTTAATTTTTGATTGTTTACATACATTTTGCAACATCAAGCTTTGAGCTTGCAAAAAAAGCTCAATATCTTGCGAAGGAATTTCAGAAAGAACAATTCATTTTGTTGTATAACTCTAGTAGTCAATTACTGGTCACATAAGCTGGTGAGCTAAATTGAGTTGTGCTTCCATCTATTGGCCAAACTGTGGTACTGTGCATCCATAGAAGGTGAAATATTCCTTATTGCTGGAAAACAGAAAAACACTGGATGGTAACAAAATGTGGTTTATTAAAATCTGTAATCAATGGAAGCATTCAATAAAAAACGTGAATACAGATCTTAGCATAAGAACATGCCATCAATATGGGCTCTTGGTTAATGTGCAACAGTGCTTGAGAGAAAGATATACAAAGATTGCCGTTCTGTATTCATACTATAATACTGCATAAGGCACATTTTGCATCAATGAGTTCCTATGATCCCCAGTAACAGTTGCCAACTCACAGGAACTATTCCTCAAATATCAGGGAAGCTGACCGTTATTCATTCAAACTATGTACTGGCATATTAAATAATGCTGAAATTATGTTAGCTGTAATAACTTGTTGTAGTTTACTGTAGGAAACAATCTGTTAGTGCTGTACATATTGCAGAGAAACAGCATGATGCTAGAATAATACAAAATGTGTTCCGATTATAATGATAGACTTATTAGTATAAAAGAAATAAACGTCTTGTTTGCAGAACTGTAGGTGTATGAGATGGAAGTGCAGTGAGAAATATTTGAGGCATCAAAACAGTGTCAGGGTATGAGTTTCCCTGAGAAAAACAGGAACACTTTAAGGAATGGAAACATTCAGGAAAAACCTGAACCTTGTCCGCACTTTGAAAATCACTATAAATGATTATTTTCTAACTACAGTAAAATGCATAATGGAAGTACAGTCAAATAAAAGTGACATCTCTGAATGTCACATTAAATCAGGCAGAACATCATTCAGTGAATTAAACATGAAAGCATATATATCGCAAAGGGGGCTTACAGTATATACTCAGAGTCCACCCCCTGCTCCATGATCCTGCATGATTAGAGATGACAATAGAAGTCCCATTATAAGCTGTTGTTGATGTCCATACAGACGTACAGAGCAGTGGGAGCAGGGCAGCTGTGGGGAGAACCGGCCTCCTCTGTCTGAGTGCCAGCATCTGGAGCAGCACTTTGCTCAGAGCCTGCGGGCGGCTTGCTTGGGTCACACTCTGAAGAACAACTTACCATTTCAATAGGGATCTGGTACTCCTCTACTTTCCCCAGATAGCTAGGGGAGGAGACGGGGGCGTCTGGTGAAGAGACCTTGGCGAGAAGCTGCAGATGGTCCTGATCAGAGCCAGACTCCAGGCTGACGATCTTAAACAACCCGCACAGGCTCTGCCGCGTCTCGTCCAGGTTCTGCTGGAGCTCAGTTCGCTCCTGCAGCAGTCGCTCTTTCTGACTTTTCTGGACAAAGAACAAGAGTTCAGATTATTTCACTTCCTCAAATCCTAATAATACATGCATTCTTTGGACCAAAGCTTACAACTGGCGATTGCTCTGTAAAATGAAAGGGTCACTCAATGGAACTTGGCAAATGATTTGTTATTTGTAGCTGCTAAATAAATAAAGTAATCTTGTATCTATGAAAAAAAGGAGAAAGCTGCATTCACTCATAAAAGGTTTTTGTGTCGCCTCGGAGACCTTGATCTAACTTTCAAACTATGTGGATAGTTGGTCAGGAGGTGCACATTTTCATCTGTCAATATTAAATAACAATGTAGGTTAGCAGTTCAGCAAATGCTTCCATGTTGATCTTATCCTACGTACATTTCCAAATAACTTGTTGTAGCATTGAAAGATAGTCATCTAAGTATTTAAGTATTGTATTTATGCTCAAATTATCAATATTTATTAGAAGTTTATTATTCTGTTATGTCAGATTGACAAGAGGTGAAAGGCTGTGACTTGTACTTCTATCAACATTGCTGGAGTTTATACTGGTCACCCCTAGAGGTTTACAAAGGTTATACAAACACAAAATGTAATCATATCTTGTTGAGAATACCAGACATAAAAAGGCAACTTACTAATTTTTTTACGTCAATTTCTAGATGGTGTATGCCGTCTAGTTTCCTCTTTCGGCAGCGCTGAGCAGCCACGCGGTTTTTGCTTCGTCGACGGACGTCATGGACAAACTCCATCTGATCTTGAGTCAGTTGATGTTGTCTTAGAAGCTGCTGGAAGGCACTCCGACTCAGCGCTGAGATCTGCTCCACTGGGAATGGAAGCTGAATCTGTAGAGCACAGGGTTAAGGAGTTAGATTATTTTTTAATTAATATCTTTATCCATCACCAAATAATCTGTGTATCAAAATGACCTCTGCTGCTCGTTTGTTGTAAGCCTCAGTATCTCCGTCTGTGTCCAGGTCTGAGTCGTCCCCAGAGTTGAGCGAGGACATGTAGGGGCTCTTCTCTGACTGGGACAGGCTGTCGGTGGGGGGGGCCGGGTCATCACCTGTCCCAAAGTCCCTGAGGAAGGGGCAGTCTCCTACACTGGAGCTCAGGTCCAGCTGCTTGAGCCAATGGAAGTCTGATGCTTTTGACAGATTGTTTTGGTCAATGGCTTCCAAGGGCAGGGGTTGAGCTTGAGATGGGCATATGTCAGACCAGAACCCCTTAGCCAGATGTTCAGCCACCTCCCTCTCAACACTACTCCTCTGCTCAATCCCCTCTTCGTGGCTTGAATCAGTTACTGCCGGGTCTGAGAGATCACCTTCTATTTTCTGTACAAAACCAGCCTGACTCTGCCCTATTAACTCACTGCAATCTTCCACGCCTGATGTGTTAAGTGGACAGGAACTGGGGTTGCAGTTGGTTAAAGCAACAAGCGTCTCGACACTCTGCTTAACATCACCTGCTGGCTCAATGAGTTCTGGCGGACTCACATCCCCCGGGGCGGACAGCTCACAGGATAGGCCACAGTCTGCTAAACTCAACTCATTTTGATTACACACATCTCCCATCCCTAAAATGTCTCTTTCGCAGAACTGAGTGGGATGATCTGCTTTGTCGGCAGCTGGGCATGGCAAAGACAACATGGGGCACACAGCATTTTCTGTTAAGAAAGATAAGGGGGCCATTTGTGGCCCACAATTCTCCAAACAGAAGGGTTCTTCCGCGTTGTGCATCTGACCCTGTGCTCTCTGAGGACACTGTGATGGGAAATCTGTTTGTTCATCACCTCTTGAAGGCAGTGAGCTGTGTGACTCAAATGATTTTGGTTGGCTGCTCTCTACGCGGGGGCTAAAACTGGCACTGGGTTCCCGATTCAGACAACAGGCCCTCCGCCTGACCTCTGGAGAGGCTCTATTACCTGCAGTAAACTTTGGGATGAGGAAATCAAAGCATGAGGACTCCAAGTCATTAAATCCTAGAATCTCAGCACTGCGGTGAATGGCATGAATGTTTTCTTTCGTGAAGGGCAGCTTAGATGTGTAGGCAAATTGAAGCAAAGGTTCAAACCCTTCAACAGTCACCTGTGGGGAAAAGGAAATAAACAAAAGTGTTAAGGTACAATAAAACTCAGAGCACAAACTAAACAGCAACAATAACGTTTGAAAAGACTATTCTGGAAAATATACCAGCTAATGAAGAGACGTTCTTATGCAGATCTATATGGCTGTATGTAGTATAGCCTGTACTAGAATATATAGCTCAGTGGTTAAAAAAGCCACTTAAAATCAAGAAAGCTCAAAATAGTTGATCGCTTACGGGTCTGACATAAATTGTCGTCACATACTTTTTAATGTACACAGGCGTACTATCGTATGGAAAGGGCCGCACATTAACAAAAGTCATGATACACAACCAATGCTGAAAAGAATAGATATTGCTGTGTCAGCATTTTTAATGGCAGATCTTGAAGAAAAGCTTCAGTCCATGTGATAACAACTTAGTCTTGTTCAGAAATGTTTCAGTGGCTGGTCTTGCAAATACATTGCAGCTTGCTTAGTGCAATGTAATGTTTAACAATTCATAGAGAAACTCCCTCCAAGAATGCCTTAGGCCAGGACTTAATTCAAACTTTGGACATAATGTACTAGTGACATAACAATTGTACTCAAGTACAAACCTGCCTTACTTGAATTCTGAATAGAGCAACTGAATTCAGCATTGGCAATTATTGGTGACGAGTTACAACACATTCATGCACAAACAAAATATCAGCGTCAACTTTTTGTCCTAAATCCTTCAGCGACTGAAGGATGAATCAGCTGAACACCAACCTCATCAGGCAAGCAGATGATGGTGTTCTGGCTGGTGACATTTGTAACCCTGCTCTGAAAGTATTCACTGCAGGAAGCCAAGACAGAGCAGTGGGCCCGGAAACTCCTACTTTCAACCAACACCGTCACATCACACAGGACGTCCCGCCGCCTCTGCTCATCCAGACTCTGGAGAACATTAGCGCTGTGCACTGCAGACTGAAAGGTGAACACTGACATGCGAGAAGCTTGGAGCGACATGGTTCAAACAAGCTCAGCCTGTGTGACAGAGGGAGCAGGGAGGAGACAACAGAATCATGGTCACAACAGACTGTCAACAAGTCTAGCTGCAGTGATAAGTTAATTATTGATCAAACACAAATTGATGTTCAACATTTTTTATTAGTTTAAAAATCAGTTTATAATCTAAAATGCATGTGTTCCTACTTCTCAAATGTGAATACCATCCGGTTTTCTTTACCACACTATGATAGTAGACTAAATAGCTTTTGAATCTGGACCTAGGTTGAAACAAGACATTTTAAGACATCACCTTGAATTTGAAATTTTTACAGTTAACTGGCATTTTATAGGGTGACATTATATATATATTTTAAAGTGATAATTGCAGCCCTAGTATAATTGTTCCCTAGCATGAGGTGCAAAATTGCACAATCATTTAAAAACACCAAGCTAATGTTCATGGTGATGGTGACCCCTCGAGGAACAATAAAATAAGCCATCTGAGAAGTTTGATCTGAGCATTACTAAAATAAGGGAGGTTGTTTTAATATGTAAAACCAAATGTATTGTTTGAATAACACACTTATCAACAAAAACTTGAATTTACATTATTATTATTATTATAGGCAGCAGAAAAGATGACCTACTGTGTTAAGGCTATTACATGCTCCAGTGTGAAGTCAGTAAAAGAGAAATCTAATGATGTACCAGCTGATGCAGATAGCTAAAGGTTTGATGACCAGTTAACTCGGTCATCTAACTTGTAAATTGTAAATGACTGCAGTCAGGATAGATTTCATTTTCACTCGTAGCAAGTTAAAAATGCTGACTCATGTTTAGCCAAGTTACACAACTCTCCCTGGTGGAGGCGTAAAGAAAAGTATCCGAAGTTGCGACGATAACATAATGTTACTAACTGGAAGTTTAATAAGATACAAATGTCACGTTAATGGTCGACAATTGTATCCAAACTGAGAGGCTTTACGCTAGGCCAAGACCGTTAGCCATGTTCTGACTACTGTACCGAGCGAACACATCTTCCTGTTGTTGGCTAAAAAACATAAAGGCATTCTCAAACAGTAACGATACGCTTTAATATTAATTTAAGAAGGCAAAGGTTCACTGACCTGCCATGTCAGCTTGATAAAACTGGCATTAAAAAATGTTTAGTAGAGACGTTTCTGCTCATCCGGAGCCAGGCTTCCCTCTCGTCATGTGACTACTGGGACCAGGAAAAAGTACTGTAAAGCAATTACTGCGCATGCTCAGTGTAAGACTCGGGAAGCCAGCACACAGGACAGGAAAAACTTTTCCAATTTTAGAGCATTTCATTATGATGATATTGATAAAAATAGACAAACATGTGTTACAAGTTATTATTTATCTCAACTTTCGTTTATCTTGTAATCTGTTTAAAAACAGAAAACGTCCATGTTGACTTTCATTGCTATCATCATTCAAACAAGTGTGAGAAACATACAGCTGGTCCTGGTTACTTGAAATACTGTGTGAAACGACTGTGTTGAAATGTCAACACTCTCAAATGTCCATTCTGTATAATCAATTTCATCTCATCACAGCCTAGTTAATGTCATAGTCATAACTAGTTGGTTAACATTTTGAGATCCCTTGTACTGTGGAGCTGAAGCAGCAGCAGACGGTTGGTTTGTTTGGATTCCCTGAGTAGTGAAGCGCAGTTTTATTAGAGGATTCTTTCATAGAAGAGGAGGTAGGCTTGGCAACCCTGCACTTTGCTCTCGCTCACAGGCTGAACGCTTGTGTCGCTGACATGGAACCAGGATCCTCTGGTTGAATCTGCAGGTTTTGAAGGGAAGAGATGAGTTAGTGGAGATGCATAAAACATTAGGATCAACTTATTCTATAGGTACACCTACCTTCAGCTGTACATCCATTGGATGAGAGTTTAGGGCACTCAGGGCGTGCTTTCACATACGCTGTGTAATGACCTGACCTCATTGTTCCGCTGTGCTCTACGATGCCGTACAAACTGTACAAAATCTGATTATCTCCCTCTGTCAAGTTCTGTAAGGAAACAACTTTCTGTTAGTACACATACTAATAAAGAACAATAACACACTTATTTAAAGGGTTATAAGAATATCTATATTTAATAAAAGCTCCTAATCACAATATTTACCTGGCATTTAACCGCACAGAAGGGAGCTAGATCCAGTATCAGGGGGAATTGGACATGTCTGTTCACCTTACAAATACTGTATCCATTCTAGAGGAAAATAACAAAAGAGTTTTGCTCGAAATCCACATTCAATGACAAAAGAAAGAAAAAGATCAAAAACATAACGTCTCTTGCTCTTTAAACAGTTGGTTCATCGCTGTGTGAATAATAATTGCAAAAGGTGTACAATGTTGACATTTTATTCAACTGTCTTACCTGTTGAAATCTTTTCAAATGAAGGGTAAGCACCGGTGGGGGAGACGAGATAAGCATTTGCTTCAAGGCATCAGTGTAGACATTTTTCTTGGATGCTTAAAAAAAGCATAAAGTACAAGACGATGAACTTCACTGACCCCTCAAATGAAAAACTGAGTCCAGCAGAAAAACATCAGCTACAAGACCAACAACACACATTTAAAATTGGCTTTTTGTGTTTGTAGTTACTTGATTTGTGTTATGGACTGCACAAAAACAACAACACCTAGATCAGAATAACACATACCTCCAGCTTTCTCTTTATTGGGCTGCCGTTTGGTGCAAGTGACACAAAGCAGGCTGTTGTTCTGCGTGAGAGTTTCCACTTCTGTGAACTGGAAAAGGCACGACTGGACGGAACACTCCTGTTTCTCAGGTGCTTTCCTGGTAGCCAGAGTGTGGAAAGCCAGATCTGGGTCCTGACTTACTACAGTGTACTCTTTAGCTTCCTCTTCTTCACTCTCCATGCTTTGATCCACAGCAAGATAATCTTCAATGAAGGCATCATCCAGGGTGACTTTCTCCATTTCTCTCACTAGCTCTGTGTCCTGTTCTACTTCCTGATCCATGTCAGAGATGTTGTCATTGTCCAAGACGCTGTCCTTTGAGGGTTGCTCCTCTGATAAGGCTTTAAAGCGGTTGCTTACTGATGACGTAGCGGATGAGTCACACTCATTCACCAAATTATCATCCTCTTCTTCTTCTTCTTCTTCTTCCTTTTCCTTCTCATCCTGATCCGTTTCAAGGGTTTTCTGGTCCTCTTCAGACACGCTGATTTGTGCAGGAGTTTCTCCAATTAGTGTGGCTTCCTCATTTGTTCCATTGTCAGCGTTTTCCCCTTCCTCTGCATCTGGATCAGCAGGATCGGTCTGTTCGCTCTCCGTTTGGCTCGGAGATGAGAGACAGTCCAAAGTGACTCTGCCGTCAAGCTTCGTCTGCCTCTTCTGTTGCTGTAAGAGAACGTTACAGCTTATTTATTCATTTATTCTGCACACTGATGAATTAAGCAAAAGGAAAAACATGCAGTGAGTTACCTTTGCCTGCTTCTTTGCCTGCTTCTTGGCTTTTTTCTGCTGGTACTTGCTGCCGGACCCCTCGGGGATGTCATCCTTCCCGTTAGTCAAAACAGGGCTGTTTCTGCCATCCTGACTCGATTCACTGGTTCTCTGAACTTCTTTTTTCTGTTTCTTCTTCCTGTATGCCTGTAAGAATTAGCAAAAAGAGAGTAACACAAATATATAAAAACGAACAAATAATTGCAAAAGCTTTAAAAAAGAATTTTAAGGGGTTTACCTCATCAGAGACAGGAAGGGAAAGATCCAAAAACATCTCTGTGACTACAGACACCTGTAAGTGCAAAGTAGTAGCCATTAAGCTTGACATTGACATGACACCAACAGGTTATCTGTCAGTTTAATACAAATCCATAATGCATACCGTTTTGCATTGCTGACACATTATAGTGCTGGTCGTTTCCCCACCAAAAACGTGGTCGACAACGTTTTTTGGAAATCCGTTTTTCTCGTACTCTGAAATAAAAAAAGAATGTCAACGGACTACCACCATCTAACCATAGGTGGAATAAGGTTGTATATTAATGTAGGATGCAAACAACTATTGTTTGCACACATTTAATTTAAAGCCCAGTTACTTACCTTTAACTAGTGTTTTCAGCTGCTCTCCATCTGTACTTTTTTTAGATCCTTTCAATGCCTCCATGATCCCCGTGCTCACTCTCTGCAGGGAAAAACACAAACTTTAAAACGATAACAGTGAACCTATGATCCACAGTGAGTAGTGCTTGTATGGTTTATTTTTACTTCAACCTATGTTTTTATCAATATTCATTTATTGTATTCTAATATGGTGCAACTGCCACGAAACCTAAGTCCCCCTTGGCTTTATTGATAAAGCGAGAAATGTTTAAAACTGAATACATACTTTGGTCTCCTCAGCTCGCATCCCATCCAGAAGGTAGCGCAGCAGCTCCTGGCTGTCTTGCTGCTGAAAACCTTTGAACCTAGCAGCCCTGCATATAGAAGACGAGATCATGAACAACAATTAATGACGTGATGCTAGTAAGTACATTTTAAGCAAACAAGCTAGCCGCACTTACTTTTTACAAACTTGTGAGAACAACTCCCGCGGTGTTACCACACCCTTCTTGGATTCCTGAATCTCATTGAGTAGTTGACACATAGCCATAGTCAGGGGTCCGGGCCGATCTAAATGCAATACGAGAGGCTCCTGCAAATCACATTTAAAACAAGTAGTTAAGTAAAAAACCTTGTATATTATAGAGGAAAAAATCAACCATATTTAGAGTAAAACAGTTAAAGAATGATGGCTACATACCAGATCAGAGGACGCAACAGGTTGGATGTTAAGTTCCATTTTCTCTTCCGTCATTTTGTTGAGAGTCTGTCTTAAGAGATGTGTTTGAGAAAGATTCTGGAAAAGAAGATCACAGCAGTTAAATATGACATAGCATTTATGACTACCCCATTTTAACTGCTATAAAGTGAATCATACCTGAATAACTGAATTAAAGAAACATGTGTTTCCAAGGTTGCTCAGCCCTCTTACTGAAATACCACCAATGTCTTCAGATGTGCCAGACTTTTGTGATTTCACAACACTCTCTTTCTTGGCGTTTTTCTTTGGGTGGTCCTTGTTCTCTTTGTTGTCTTTGTCCTCTTTTTCCTCTGCTTTTACAGTCTCTGTCTTCTGTTCAACTTCCAACAAGCAGGCTTCTTCCTTCACTCCTAAATAACCAATCAAGGCATGGTGGAAATTGTTATACAAATGTAATTCCAATAATACAGCTTGTCCATAAAAATGTTTAATTTTCCAACGGGACCTACTCTTCTGTGGTCTCTTTATGGGATCTGCAGAGGTTTGCTTTTTTAAGTTGGTCAACAGCTGAGCCAAATGTCCCGTTCTGGAGAACTGGACTTCATCATCACATATGTAACACCTGCAAGTTTGGCAACACATGATATATCAAAAGTATGTTTTATTACATACTTTTTTCTTTTGACAGGACCACTGCAAAATACTCACCACACACTCCAGTTGTCCAAACTAATCACCAGACAATGTGGTTCGGAACGAGGAGTCTCATAATGTTTGATGGCATGCTGGTTCTCAGAGTTCCGTCCACATCCCTGTTAGAAAGTACATCTTTAGCAAAAAGTCACTTCATACACTTTCACAAGTTAAATGTTAAACTCACTCTATGGCCACATTTCAAGCACATCCACATGGGTTCCATCTCTTTTTCCTCTTCAGATTCCGGTGGCACAGTGGTGCTGATGTTTTCTTTGTTTTCTTCATTTTCTTCAGGCTTACAATCCTGGCAACTTGTCCAATCACCACTCCCAGAGAGTTTCTTTAGAAGAGTTTGGTCTGATCCCTTCTTAATGTGCCTGCAGGATGGAACTATTAAGATAAAAACACACACAATGTGGGAAGGTTACCACCAGCCTCCTACCGGTTATCATATGTTACATTACATTTATGTCATTATGATGATATTATTTACCTGTAATCTCAAAGTCATCTTCCTCTCTGGAGCTTTTTTCCTTCCCCCTTTTCTTTCCCATGTTCACCTAAGCACAATAAGAAATGAATGGAATCAGACCCAGCAGTCAGCCAGTGTATCCACAGCCAGAAGCAAACAATGTTACATGTATATAAATGACCAGGGTCAGTAATTAGGTTCCTGCCAACTTACTGTCACAAAAGAGCCTAATGAAAACCTTCGGTTTTCAGTTTCGTTTACTTTGTGTGGGTTAAATATCTCATCCGAGAGTAGGCTACGTTTGGTTTACTAATGACAGCCGTACGATGGAAGTCTACGGTTTGAAAATAAAGGGGTAATGTTACAAAGTTTAAAAAATGCAAAAAAAAAGCCCCGCTGATTTGGCAGAAAATGCCAGCTGACACATGCAGACAACGGGACTAAAAAAGGTGATAATTCCGCTGTTCGGCTGATCGCTACGTGTGTTTCCTGTGTGCGTCGCTTTAAAAAGTCCGACATAAAACAACTACCGGCTCATGAACTAGCGGTACAGACACTCTGGCCACAGCACCAGTATGCATTACTGAAGTTGTACAGTGTGTAACTAGCTTATTCAACTCCTATACAGCTGACATATGTTGTATTGATGTTCAACGCTTGACAGGACACACAGCAAACTATATTTGAATGCTGGGACAGAGAGCTGTTATTATACAGTGATTGTTTATGTATAACAGTAGTGAGGAGCGACGCTGTAGCTTGCCTTTATCAGTATGTCTTACTTGGAGTGGGCTGAGTCTCAGCTGGCAGAGATCGAGCTGCTGACCAGCATGTTTCCCACCCGGGAGGAGCTGGAGATAACAGACCAGCTGGCACTAGCCGAGCTCAGGGACTTTGTGGAGGGTTCAGCTTCAACAGACTGCCCCCCTCCCTCCAGACCCCACTTTCTCATCAAACAGAAGCTGGACACTGCAAGCATGGAGAGGGTAACAAAACAACCGGCTGTCTGTCATAGTATGTCTTAGTGATGTGAATATGTGCTTAAAACATTATTATTTTCTCATTTTGATCCACTCAGACTGATGTCATTCTATCCTGTACTTATCCATCCGAATATCCCAGTGTGTTTCCAGAAATAACACTCCGGTAAGCCAATAATATCCACTTTTGTTATATGGTAGGGTGATGGAGTTTTCATAAACAAAATTGCTAATTGTCTTTGTTTATAACACTTTTCAAATGTGCATGCAATTGCTAGTAAGGGAAACATAATATTGTAAAACAACAACAAACTATGTTCAAGAGCCAAGAAACAAATCAAAGGACAAGAGTTTATAAATGTGGTCTAATGTGAAAATGAAATGATGATGAAAAATGACATAGATTGGCAACAGACTAACAACACAAAGGAAAGGGTTATGTGACTGTGTCAGAAAACAAGGGGTTATTTTTCTCCTGGTATGGCTTTATTCAAGGTTAAGAAATCTGAATTTAGCTGTGCGCTGTATATGTTAACTTTATAGATTTTATTTTGACCAGTAACATTAATTAATATTTTTCGAATTTGACAAAATATTAATACAAGCTGCTAAAGAGGTAGTATAACACGCATCAATCTCTATTGATTAATGGTGGGCATCACAGCTTATGTGGGTAATGTGGTTTATCCTCCTGTGCCTGTTTAGGTGGCCAGTAAAACAGCAAAGGCCAGTGACACAATTTGTCAAATCTAATATTCTTAACATTTTGAATCATTATAGAGAACAGGTTATAAATATGTACATCACAGTGAAATATACTGCAATAGGCAGTAAACACTATTTTTAGTTGACTTCAACTAACTAACAAAAGATATTTGAAAATATAATAGGGAATAGTCATTCGTATTTGTTTGTAAATCAAACTCCTAAAGGTATGTTATTTTGTGCTATGTTGTAGGGCAAATATTTGCTTCTTCAAGATTTCCTTTAGTAGTTTTTGCTCCCAAGGTAGGAAACTTCCAGCTCTATGTGGCCTTGAATGTTCTTTGAATCCTTCTCACAGCATGTTTTATTCTGGCTCTAGGTGTGCATATCTCAGCAGGGCCCAGCAGACGCAGCTCCAGACAGATCTCAATGCGTACCTCATTGGAAATTGCCTGGGGGAAGTGTGTGTGCTCTCCGCTGTGGAATGGGTGAAAGACAACCTGCAGCTTTTCATTAACAAGAGCTTATCAGCAGCACCGACTCCTAAGAAAGAGTCTTCCTCTCCACGGCCACAGGAAACGTTCAGCCGTCTGTGGATTTACAGTCATCACATCTACAACAAGACGAAGAGGAAGAACATCTTGGAGTGGTCCAAGGAGCTGGGCCTGTCAGGATTTAGCATGCCTGGGAAACCTGGTATTGTGTGTGTGGAAGGTCTTCATTCTGCCTGCGAGGAGTTCTGGTCCAGGTATCATGAATACTGTTATTTGTAGCTGCTGATGTCACAGCCAGATGCCTGCTGAGGTCCAAGGTTTATTGATTTTCCAAACTTTTTCCCATTTCACAGAGTGAAGGTTCTGACATGGAAGAAGATCATGATTCGACACAGAGAGGATTTTCCCCTTGATGGTCAGTGCGGGGACAACAGGACTGTAGAAAGTATAGACTCCCGGCGCAAATTCACAGGCTTTGAAGAGGCAATGTTTGACCCCCATGGGAACAGAGGTAATCACATGGACCTTGGGCAGCTCTACCAGTTCTTAAATGAGAAAGGCTGTTGTGAAATATTTCAGATGTATTTTGGCATTGAAGGGAGGTGATTGCTGGACCCAAAGAACGAACATTCGTAAGAATTTGACAAGTGCCTGCCGAAAGTCGCTTCTTTTGAAATGTGTATTTACTAAAAATGTAAAAAGCATTCATAACTGTTTCACATACAGTACAATAAGCACACACAGGGACTGAGCATGTGGTCACATGTGCCTGAAGAAAACGATTTGAACAACATTTCTGCAATGTTGAGAAACTAAAACTTACTTTAAGCTGTTAGGCATGTTTTTCAAACAGAAGCAATAAAAAGATGTTTATCTGAGAGTTTACTCGAGGACCCAAGATATATTTGCAATTTTAATACACAATGCAAAGATCACACCTTGCCCTGGGTGTTTCTTTTCTCAAAATGTACTACTGTGTATTACTGCCAGGCTATTATAGGATTGCAGGTCTAGATACCACATTAATAATTGGACAACATAGTCAACAATTTGCTCGATATCTGCTTATGAAATCTGTTGATTTTACTCCTATGAATTATAGATAAAATAACCGTGGAAAATCTCTCTCCAATTGTCTTTAAATGATTCGTTCTTAGATAAATAGTGCATCATAATGGATTACACTCCAGTAATTAGAAGGCATGGTTATTAAACATGAATGTAATTTTGAGCTCCCTGACCAAGATAAACATTGATGTGAATTTTGTTCTTGTGCGATTCAATGGAAGATTATCATAATTTACATTTTACTTTTAGGTGATTTTATCTCCTGACAGGAAGCACTCATGTACTGTTCTTTTAAAGTCCATCATCAGTTCATACCTTTTACATACACGTATCCATTATCAGTAGACTTGTAACTCATAGGAGTTTGAACCCTAAGGGAACATTTCAGAGTTCAGGCTTTGTTAAAAATTAACAGATGACATGTGAAGATCCGTTTTCCTATTTAGTTATGCATTTTTGTTATCAGGGCTATCGTACCAGGTCACTCTTAGATGACCTGGTGCAGTTCAGCTCAACATGGAGTTGTATGATATCAGGAAATCTAGATTGGACTGCTAGTTCAGTAGTACAGGCACTGGATTTAACTTATTTTCAAACATGCTGGGTCTACAATGCCCAGCAGATGGCAGCATTATATTATCAAAGTTGGGAAACATGGCCTTAGATGTTACCTGTAGTTTATGGATGTTAAAATATGTAAACCTTAAACAATAAACAATCTGGATCCCAAAAGACCAGGTTTTATCTCAAATGATGCAAAAACAATAATGATTATTTTAAAAGTATGAATATGTATTGTATAATGCAAAAGGAGTGTGGACTTTCACAACATCTCATTTGCCAGTGGTCCTGCTCCTTCTGATGTTACAGTTTTGTTTTGCCCGCTCACTTCCACTCGCACAGACTTCTTCAGAAGATTCATCAGAGCTTCTGTTTGTTTGTTTATCGAGGATAGCTGAACTCCCAGGTGAGTCCACAGCTCCACAGCTAGTATTTCTACTCGAAACAGAATCGGTCAAACCACACCTTATCATAAGTGTACTTTATGGTCTTGACTGAACAGTCCTAGCTCCTGATAAAATGAACACAATTTATGTTATGTTTATTTCAACTTGGTTAATAAAACCTTCAGCATAGAGAAGGTGTCTCTCTCTGCTGACACATCCATCAGTTTAGTATGGTTGTGAAAAAAGAACATCTACTTAACATTCCAAAGAATCAAACATCAAAATATTAAACAAGAAATGTGAAACACCAGCAGTAAAGGCTTAAAACAAATCAAATTGACACACAAATGAATCAAATAATTTGATGGATACTTCAAATGCATTAACACATTGTTAATCAAGCAGTATCTCTGCCATAATATTGCTGAGCATCTCTTGTCTCATCAGTTTAGTTTAGATTAGCTGGACATCAGTCGGAATTTCATTAAATGAGCTGGCATGAAACAAGTGTACACCTTTCTACATTAAAATATCACCCGTCATGATTAAATGTAATGATTTACATCGTTTTATAATAGCCTTGATAAAGCAATGACCAATGGAGTAAGAAGAAGGGCAACCTTTTGTAAGAAATAAGTTGTTAAAGTTATTTTAATAAAGACAGAATTGTTTTAACTCCCCACTGTTTAATTAGTTGTATTCCATGCACAGATGAATTTAAAGATTTTAAAAAGGTCAGATTTAAAAAAAGGTATAATTATGTAACAGTTGATTTTACCATATTGTTCTTTAAAGTCAATTGACTGTTTTTTGTTCATTCTGTCCCAGTCTCAATGTAAATTAAAGTTTTTTGTAAATCATATGGTCTTATATTTTTATGAGTGAGTAGACTTTATTGTATCCTCATGTCAATATAGTTGATCTGAATCTGAAACAGTGCAATCAATAGCAAACATTTGGCACATATATGAAATAAATATTAACCTTAAGGGAAAGAAAGCAGGGACTCTATTCCACACAGCGAACAACATACAAATGTGACTAGATATAGTCAAATTGAGACCTGCAAAGGCTAAGAGTTACTCTGTATACATTCCACTGAGAGTCGATACTCTAACCTAAGTCATTATTTCCTTTCTGTACAGAGCCCAAGGAATGGAGTTGTCACAGTCCTTCAACTAACAGACGACCCTGTATATAGTAGTTTCATTGATAGTTTAATGGAAATATGCCAAGACCACTCTGCAGATCAAGGTTTAGCTCAGAGTATCTGGAAATCTCTTGAGTGCTTTTCGTTTCCTCTGATCAGGGGTCTCTGCGACTCTAACGTCATAATCACAAAAAAAACGGCAGGGACAAAGGATGCAAGGCGGTGCTGCATCACAGCCTTTCATTGTTAATTTGTTCTGTGGCCTATACATATATTTACATTGAACGAAAGTGGGAAACACCCGTGTATTTAAATAGCTAAGACTGTTGGTGATACCATTGTATACTTTAATCACTCGTTGGATTGCTCTGGTGTCATTGAGGAGCAGAATCATGAAAAGAGTGAGAAAAATGAAATCAGCTTCTGAATCAATCAACTGAGACGTTTTCCCACTGACATCATTTCTCCTGGTTCTCATCACCCTTATTGACTTTCCACAGATGTATACTCACCCCATGTTTGATGCAATGAGATGGTTGGTCGATCGATCAAAACCTAAAAATGTTGTCTTGATTAAATGAGCCAGCCTAAACAGTATGATAAGCAATTATAATGTCTATTTATGGGATGTTTCCTCCTCTAGATCAGTGTATGATGTATAGTTCTTTCTTATACAATTAAATGCAGCAATAAAGGACAACTGCACATGTGGATGAGACATAACAACTAAAATAGTTTCCAATTTGCTGTGAACCTTTTGTTCTGTGTGTTCCCATTCTTAACCCTTCAACATGTTGGTGACACTTTAATTGGTTTTGCCTCATTTAGTATGACGAAGCACAAACATTGAATACATGGTTTATAACCCAGTAGGGGAAGCAGCTATGCAAGTGTTTAATAACAAACACTTATACATCTGCTTGAAACTACATTCAAGTTTGATATAAATCATGTATCAAATATTTGTATTATGCTTATGAAGGCTTAATGATATAGGGCTACCTTTGGAGACCCAGAAGCTCTGTGGTTGATGCATAGAAAGTAACATCTTGGTAAATGACTGCAGAAATCATATCCCTTGTTCTTGAGGCCCATTTTGGCAACTCTTTGTGAAAGAATTTTTACACTAAACTTCATTCACAAAGGATTTACTGGTATTTTCTTTTCTCATCATTTCAGACAATAACCCGATTCTGTAGGTCTATTGAACTGGTGATGCATATAATTGAATTAGTTTTGAACGTCATGGTGAGGTATTTCAACAGAGGGATTTCATCATGTCTCCATAGCTGGCACTCTTTCACAGAGCCAAGCTAATATAAATAGTATTGTTTTGAATTACTTGAAGCTGCAAACACTGAGCCGAAGGTTTTGAGAATTTGAATTTCCGAAACGTAGGCTTAGAATTCTGCACACCGCTGTGGCTTCATCCCACATTGTTTTGTAGCCAACGTGAGCAATAATAATTCTTCTTTGACCCTGTTGCAAATAAGACAAACAATGGGCAGTTGAGAGTCCTGGATAAGCATTAATCATCTGTCTTTAAATGTTGCACATTTGCACTCTACTCCTCCACAAGTTATTCGTAGCAGATATTATAATTGTGGTGACATAAGCCGTCAATTATATTTAAAATAAAATATAACTGTGTAAAGCTTGAAATAAAGGGTCACACTCTTTCACTTTAATTTTGTAACATACTCTGCGTTATGCCAAAAGCATGCACACATGCATACAACTTTAATATTTTAAAGCAGTGGATCCAACGTTTGAGAAAAGCATTATTTCATTGAAGTCTGCTGAAAAATCTATCACAATCTCACAGGAGCTGCACAGCAGAACTCCCTTTCAGAGCATATCAGTCTCTTAATTCACTATGTGTTGCATTACCATTTTCAATTCTGCCAAAGTAAACTTGATAATCAGAGCAATTAAAAACACAATCAGCTGTGTTTCAAAGTGCTGTGGGAAAACTTGGCCTGGCAGCTCTTTGGGATTCTGGACCTTCTCCCCTGATGACCCCTCAAGGTGAACTCTTGTATGGCTGTCCATCCCATGAATACTAAATATGGCTGAATTAAACATTTTCTCTCTTCTCACTATTTAATCAGTTGTCTTACTGAGCTGTCTGTCTGCAGTAATCCCTGAGGCTCACCATCACATCGTGATGACTGGCACGCTGCTCAGGAAGTATTCAAGCCATAGCAATCCCACTGGTCCCCCCCCTCCCCCCTCTTTGTATGCACTCTTTAACAGCGACAACCCTACAAATCAAAGGAAGTTCTTCGTGATATGCTTGCAGTGTGCTAGTGTGATTTATTTTTGCAAAGTGCTTTAATACAGATTTATATTTGGGTTAAAGAAGTGAGATTTGTTTTCTGCTTATTTCCTTCCCTTTAAACACTTCCTTCTAAACCAGGGGGGTCCAAACCTTTTTTCTCCAAGGGCCACATACAGAAAAACATGCAAAGGGCTGGGCCACTTGCTAGAGGTGAGGTATATTGCCTCATAAGTTAAGTTATAAGTTAACAAAATCAATCAAATGTAGGTAAATTATGCTTTATACTTGAATATGCTTTAAGAAAATAACAGCCTACATCACAGCTTGCCAGAGGGTTTCATTTTTTATTTTGCTGGCAGCTCATTCCCAACAACAGAAGCCTCAGATTGCTTATGATAAGGGGAAATATGAAGCGTATATTTCAAGCTTACTATGTAAATAAGTTATTGGGCTTTTTTCTTATCAACTTAGATTTGTTAGAAAATGTTTTCAACTTTAATTTAATTAATTTAATTGAAATTGGGCTTTTAAAACATGAATATTGTGTCATATATTTTGAGAAGTACAATATAAGACAAGCACAAGTTTAATGTGTGGGCCATATTTCATTATACTTTTTTAATTAGCTGAGGGCCGATTCAAAATGGCCCGTGGGCCGCATTTGGCCCCTGGGCCGTAGTTTGGACACCCCTACCCTAGAGAGTGTGTGAGAAGGAGAAAGATAGAGCTTTCAACCGTTGGTGTTTGCACGTTGGGGATAAGATTACACCATAGACTGTATATATAAAGGATTACACACGTGTCTGTGGTTTTTTAAATGATAAAACTGTGCCTCATTGATTTTGAATCTTTGTTTCACATTACACTTCTGAAAAGAAATTAGCCTTTCAACAACAAAAAGTATTTATATTAATAGCAATAAAATCTAATACAAATAGGTGTGTCTTATTATTAATACAATGTCCCACTCATTTTTGAATCATTCGGTCGGATGTTTTGGAGGAAATTGAGAAGAAATAAGACTAAAATAGCCGAATAATAATAATAATAATAATGAAATGTGTATTAAATAGAAAAAAAACTTAAATTCAACCAAAAGAGGTTTCTGTTGTTAGTCTGCATTGATTTAGAGTCATTGTTTCACATGACTTGAAAGCTATTGAAAAGAAAGACAGTATTTTTAATAAAGATATTTATATTAAAAACGAATTTAAAAGAAGGTGTGTCTTATGGTCAGAGTAACTATACAATGCTGCGTCTATTTGAGTGATTGGGTCATTTAAAAAATAAAAACAGCTACATTTTAATAGTCAATTTAATTGTTTAATGAATGTCAAATAGATAAAGCAGTGGAATTTGCAGTGTAGTGATGCATTGATTCCCAGTCATTGGGTCACATGACATGAGAGACATTTGACTTGAACAAAAATGCAGGACAAAGCACTGAAATGTCTTATTTTTCCAGAATAGTAATAAAATGCTGCTTTGATGTCAAACTGTATTCCATTCTCCTCTTTGCTTCACTGCTGTGTTTCCCCCCCCTTCATTTCACCCGTCAGGAGCTGCTAGACACCCTTCAAAAGGACCCAGAGGAAATCAGGAGACAGTTGAGCGAAGCTTTGCGAAGGTCCACGCTGCTGAAGGTTAACGAGAAGAAGCTAACGAGGCGCTACACCACGCTGCTGGAGCAAGAGCAGCACCTTCGCAAGGAGAACGGCAAGATGAAGGACGACAGCAGCAACATGCAGGCCTCCGTCACCCAGAGGATGGGCTACCTGCAGAGATACAAGGTACAGAGGAGGGAAGTAGAGGAGTACAAATACTTTGTTACTGTACCTAAGTACATTTCTCTGGTATCATTACTTTACTCCACTACTTATTTTTCTGACAACTTTTTACTTTGACTTCTTACATGTTGAACACAAATACCTGTACTTTCTACTTCTTACATGTTGAACACAAATACCTGTACTTTCTACTTCTTACATGTTGAACACAAATACCTGTACTTTCTACTTCTTACATGTTGAACACAAATACCTGTACTTTCTACTTCTTACATGTTGAACACAAATACCTGTACTTTCTACTTCTCACATGTTGAACACAAATACCTGTACTTTCTACTTCTTACATGTTGAACACAAATACCTGTACTTTCTACTTCTTACATGTTGAACACAAATACCTGTACTTTCTACTTCTTACATGTTGAACACAAATACCTGTACTTTCTACTTCTTACATGTTGAACACAAATACCTGTACTTTCTACTTCTTACATGTTGAANATTTAACCATCAACATCATTTCATTTGATTTAATTTAGGTGAAATTATCTAATCATTAGAGATGCAATAATGATACTAGCTACTATAGTGACAACTCCTGTCATTATTGCATCTCTAATGATTAGATAATTTCACCTAAATTAAATCAAATGAAATGATGTTGATGGTTAAATTAGCTTCACATGTCGGCCTACTGAGTTCTGAACTTGCCATTTATATCTAAAAAGGCCTTGGGGCTATGTTGTTTGATTTAATTAAACACAATATATGCACTCCACTATGCTGTTGTAATATTTACTGTATCTGAAGCTCTTAATATGATTGCTCATATTTCAAGCCATCTTTTTCCCGGCCCCTTGCTTTGGATCATTTTCATCAACCGGCCCCCATTCCAAACTAATTGAATAGCCCTATGCTACAGCATTGATTCCTGCAGGGAGCATTGTCTTTTTGCCTTCCCTCCTCCATGAGAGCAGTGCAGGGTGAGACACAGAGCAGCACCCCTAGATTCTTGCTTAAGGGCACCTAATCCAGTTAACACAGTTATAAAACACAATCTGAACGACCGTTTCAGTGTTTTTAATGTCTTTGATTAATTTAAACTATTCGAGTATATGATGCTACTGATAAACAACAATACACACATTTTAAATGTATTTTCCAACAGCCTGGCAGCCATTAGTGTCTGAACAGTATCAAATGCAGAGACTTCAAAATCCATCATAATTAACATAATGTCTAAGTTGAGTAACCCAATGATACCCAATTGTCATGGGTAAAAAAATAAGACTTGGCGGCTATGCTCAAGTCTCAACAGTATTCCTACTTAATGATGACTAATAAAATAAGGACAGACAATATGTTCACATTAACAGACTATACATTTCAAGCCTCAGAGGTGGACACAAATCGTCATGGTTTCTAGCAGCTATTAATATGAGTTCCAATATAAATCCTGTTTGCTTGCCACTAACCTCTGCTGTCATTTCAGTCCCTGATTTGTAGTTAATGGGACACAAATATATATATATATATAAAAACATCATTATGCTCCTTTTCAATGAATGCATTGTAATAAAAACAAGCCTTGTGTAAAAATAGTCTGGAGGTTTATCGAGTAGAAGACAGAGTGTAGGAATATGCGCTGTTAATCATATTCGCTCATATTCTACACTTCAATGTGTTTCTGTATGAATTCTGATTACATGTCTTAATACAGAAAATATCTGCCGAGGCTTCACATCACACTCTGGGCTCTTTCTTTCCACTGCCCTTCAATACTTTGTCCGCACTTGCAAATGGAAAGTTCATTTGTCCAAGGAACACCTAATTAGAGAGTGCAACTTAATGAGACAGCCGTTTGAATTGAAATATCTGAGCAATGCTGACACTCCCGCTTCCATAATTAACCTGGTATATTTTCCATGTTTTTCAAACTGTCAGTGTTCACATTTAAATGTACTTCTGTGTTCATTGTGTTTTCTCTTGTCTGCTGTAAGACCAATAGTTTATGCAGAATTTAATAATGGATGTGTTTTTTAATTACCTAAGATCTACACTCGAGAAAACATTCAAAACAATGGGTATTTATTTATTTTATTTTTACCTTTATTTAACCAGGATAGGTCTCATTGAGATTAAAAATCTCTTTTTCAAGAGAGTCCTGGCCCAAGAATGGTAACAGCACAGTTTCAGACAGTTTAACAGTTACAAACAATTAAAAAACACACAATCACAACACAGTCATACACCAAGTTTAGCCAAAGCATTTACAGACACAGCGGCCTGCTTCGAGGTCAGTTAAAGTTGCTTTGAGTTTTTCTGATGAGACCAGCTCTCTGAGTTTCAGCTCAGTTTGAAGCAGGTTCCAAGCTTGAGGGGCAGCGTAACTGAACGCCCTTTTCCCAAGTTCAGTACGGACCTTTGGTACAGTTAAAAGGAAAAAGTTCTCTGAGCAAAGCCGATAGGATCCAGTGCATTTTTTATTTATGTACATACTTAGATAAGGGGGAAGAGCACCAAGAATAGCCTTATATATAAGGATGTGCCAATGTTTCAGTCTACGCGTGGTCAGGGAAGACCATCCAACACGAGTGTATAGATTGCAGTGGTGCGTCATGGATCTGAGGTTTGTGATGAATCTCAGTGCACCGTGGTAGACGGTGTCCAGCGAGTGAAGGCACTGAGAAGATGCATTCATATAAACCACATCTCCATAATCCAGCACAGACAGAAAGGTTGCAGACACTAGTCTCTTTTTGGCCTCATAGGAAAAACAAGACTTGTTTCTAAAGAAAAAACCTAATTCTTAATTTTTTCAAGAGTTCCACAATGTGTGGTTTAAAAGAGAGCGAATTGTCAATTATAATTCCAAGATACTTATACTGCAACACAGATTCAACCTCCGTCCCCTGCAAGGTGGTGATAGGAGGAAGGTTCAGTTATAGTTACATTTTGAAAATATATATTATAAATTGGGTGCTAGTTGGGACACGCTTATTATCTCATGCATTGTGCAATAGACATTCATACAACTCTCAACAGTCAGATCTCAACGGTACCTTTCTGACCACTAATCTGAGCATCATCCCTATCTCATGAGAAAATTATTTAGAACATTATCTTCACCCACACGTTAGTCCTCATCACTTCTGATCTGCCAACTCTATTGTTTTGCTTCTGCAACTAAGGGAATGAAATGGAGGCAGCACGCTGTGAAATGGATGGATGGATAGAAGAAGAGGAATGGGTATTTTCACATTCATAAGCCAAACTTACATCTTTGAGCATGTTCATAAAGCGCGATCCAAAGCGCCAGGGTTTGTGTCGGTGGCACTGAAGCGAGCTGACAGTGATCTGGGAGGTGCGCTGCGAGGCAGCAGCCACCATGTAGACAGCGTCATACATCAGAGCTGCTTCGGTCTGAAAGAGAAATGCAGCCGTCAGCATCCATCAGCGGGATAACCTCATGCCCTTATCAGATCAGGACTGCTGATGTTCATGCACATAACCTTATGGTTTCTAAGTTCAGCTCCAGTTTCACAAAACTACTCATACAGGCAACCACAAGCAGCCACAGAAGTGTTTCTGACTGAAATGTGGGCATTGAAGGTCTTGTGCAGCTTCCAAAAATAGACTACATGTTCAAACATTTATGTATAATATCGCAGTCATTAAGTTGAAATGTAGCAAATGGCATTCTCTGATACAATAGTATAGTTTTTAGCGAAGGTTGAAATGCAAAGTTAGAACATGCGAAAAACAATAAAATGTGAGTTCAACTGAACTTTTTTCCTTCTGATAGTGAGATGTTTTAAAAAATGATGTTCATTCCTTACTTTCAAAATACGTAAGCAACTGGGAGGATTTAATGATTTATTAAAGTGGACCTATCATGCTATATTTGAATAATATAGTGTAGGACCATACCTATATAAGGCATATTTATACTTTGTATTTTTCAAAATACCAAACAGATCATGCATTTTAGCCATTCCTCATTTCGCTCAATTTAACACTGTCTTTGCATGGGCTGATTATGTGAGAACAGCACCATCTACAGGCCTGGCATATGTACTACATTTTCTCCAGCGCTTTCGAACGGCAATGTCCGTGGCTGTCTCCTCCTGATTGGTGGNCGGTATTTCGAAATACCCTGGTATACCGTAATACCGTCATACCGCCCAAGCCTACTAACTAGGTAACATAAGATAAGAATAAACCAGTTTAAATGATTTGTTATTGGTTGTGATCATATTCTAAAGATGATTGGATTATTGAAAAGTATACAGCTCCCTTTCATTTGAGTGTTGAAAGCTGTATCCACAAATTCACCAGAATTTATGGATACACCAGAGTGCACCAGCATTTCACTTCAACATTTTAAAAAACATCTTCCCGGGGGAGCACGCCCCCGGACCCCCCTAGAGGAGCTGAGGCCCGTCCACCCAAAGCAGGTTAAAATAATTAGATTGCAAACATGTTCTTTTAGTAAACACTGAAAACGGGTCCCACAGACCCAAACAGCACACAAAGGTTAAGGGTAAGCATATTAACGTTAAAATGTGCTAAATATATACACTGCAAAAAACAAAAAAAGAGGAGTAAAAGTAGCCCCCGACTTGTTTTATTTTTTTAAAGTAGCCCTCACCCTAAAAAAGGTTGGTGACCCCTGATGTAGAGTATCAGACAGAAAAATTATCAGTTTTTTTAGGCAACTGTTGGTGAGTAAATTGATTTGATTGCACATCGTATTCAGTTCAGAGCGTCCTTAGGAGTGTTCTGCTATCGAGAAATAGCAGACCTCTGAATTTCAGAACTGAGTATTCAACCAAGCCATGTAATAAATAACTATAAAACACAAGATAAATGACTCCGCAGAGAAACTCCTCCAAACGATGTCATAAAAGCCTTCTTACCATGTTCCTCCTGTGGTAAGAAAAACAATTCTTCCTCATCAGCAAAACCTTTGTTTTCTCAAAGAATACGTTAGTCTTACCACAAAATCAAAGCATCTGTTATCTCAAATGTTACATCACTTTAGAAAACCATTTGTTATAAGTTATATTTAATTAGGATTACACTTTATCATCATTTTAATGCCACAATTTCCATTACATGTCAAATCATTCATCACATGTGACAAGCGTGAAAAAGGTTAGGGTCAAATGGCAACAGGTGATACAAACAAAAAAAAATAAAGAAAAAGTTCTTTCTTTTGTTTCCGGACCTCGCCATCCACTTACCTAACCCACTCTTGTTCTTTTTCCTTTAGCAAGGTGGTTCCCCTCAAACTCTAGTAGGACCAGTAACTCCGTCAGACCCAAGCAGAGCCCGCCTCATGAAGAACTCTTCAACATCCGACAATTCATGCTGGATCACCAGAAAGAGAAAGAGCTGGCAGAGGGCATTGGAATAGAGGACGACCTTGAAGATCTTAACGGTAACACAGTATGCTGTCTGTATGAGGACAAAATAGGACGTTCTATTTCACTCTTGTATAGGTTTATGTTAGTTGAAATGTATCAGTATTTTGAATTTCAATCACTTAAATATTGCTTATAACTCTAAAAACTATTTGTATGAACAATCTGAAATACGATAACTCACACGTGATCCATCTTACCATCGTGTCTCTCCAGAGAACCCCCCTCCCCTGGAGTGTGAGGATGTTGACGATATTGGTGGTCCTGATGCGAAAGCAGAGCTCCCCCTCCACCTCAGCGTCACTAAAGATATAATGGAGCGCTGCATTCACCTGCTGTCGGACCCCAGCCTCAGGCTCAGGCTCAAGGTACTGTTTGTAGTGGGATTCAGTGAGAAGGGGTCTGGTTTTGGTTTGGATGATAATACTCCTAGAGAGGGTTGTTTAACATTGTAAAGGAACCTGTAGATCTTTTTATAAAAAATGAATTTCTTTCCTTGACATTGTTGTGACAGAGCCATACATGATGCACTCATCTGATTGTTATATTGTTTAGCAAGTGCAGCATTTGGTTAATAATTAATCGCTCGATTCATAGCACTTGAAATGTTTAGCTCTATGAAACCTGATGTACTTATA